TGACGGCTTCCAATGAACTAAAATATTACAAGAATTGCTTAACACAAAGAAGTTCGAGTTCATTAATAATTAGGAAAAATTCCCATAAATAATTAAGCCTTAGGACAACATAATTAAGTCTCAATTAATTTGACGATTATCGAAATTAATTTAAGCGGAAACAAGAAATGTAAGAATTCACGATTTTGACTGTGGCTGGTTTGATTCTTGTTTAATATGCAAATATTAATCAAACGGTTAGTAGGAAAGTGGAACATTATGATAAGAATGTGGTGGAAAAAAGGGAACAATATTTGGAGTGACAGTTTTACAACATCATTGGTTTGAAAATTTAGAGATAGAAAATTAGGAAGCACACTATATGAGTAATGATATGAGTTTTTGAAATGTTTGGAAAATAGACAAGTAAAAAAGCTGTAAGTTCGTCCCGGCCGAGCTTTAATACCCTCCACCATTTGGAACGATTTTGGAAATTTTCAAAAAAAAAAAATAAAATCCGTTAAAAATTCTGTTAAAATCTTAAAAATACCCAATGTGGCCATCATATTAGGGTCTAAACACGACGTGGACCTGCATAGGCAACTTTTGTTATAAGCTATTACAGTATTCGAATGCGAAACTTAAAAAAAAATGGTGAATAATGTAGCTAAACTCATCAATATAGGGAGGTACTTTTATATGGGGGCTATACCAAAATGTGGACCTGAACAAACAATTTTCTGCTATTGGCTGCCCGCTAAAATCATCAAAACACCAAATATAGGGGGGTACCGTCATATGGGGGGCTATAAAAATACGTGAACCTGCACAGAAAATTTTCTGAAATAGGCTGTAGTATTCATTACGAACTTCAATTACCAAATTTGAGACGGTTCCGGTGAATAATGTCGCTAAAATCATCAAAATACCGAACATTGGGAGGTACCGTTATATGGGGGCTATAGGAAGACGTGCACCTGCACAGAAAATTTTCTGTCTTAGACTGTAGCATTCAATACGAACTTCAAACACCAAATTTGAAACAATTCCGGTGAATAATGTCGCTAAAATAATCATCATACCGAATATCGGATCATCATCATACCGAATATCGGGAGGTACAGTTATATGGAAAATACACCAAAACGTGGACCTACACGGCCATTTTCAGTACCAACAGTCCTGCAGACATCACATACATTTGAGTAAAATGTTGTCAATCTACTTTATTTCATTCGGAAGCTAGAGTGATTTCCAACGACGGACAGTAGGATGGACATCGCTTAAACGACATAGAATTTTTTGGGGTCTAAAATGTATATTTCAAGATTTTACAAATGAAATGAAAAAATTAATATACCCTCCGCATTATGGTGGGGGGTATAAAACCTTCCAAAATATCATTGATTTTTGAAAGGGATATTTGATTTTTTAAAAACCTTGTAGATTTTAGGAATATTTTTCAGAGTCCAAAACCAACCAAACCAAAATTAAGGCACTAGGGACCAATTGTAAAATTTATATGTAATCTTTTTGGGCCACCTTGTATATAAAATAGACATAGATCTGCTTAAAAGTCAAGAACCGCTGGACTGATTTTCACAATTCTCATCAATCTGGAATGTACTCTTACTAACAGAAAAATATGACAATAACCAGTAAAGAAAGTCTTAAAGACGGGCGGGGCCGACTTTATGATACCCTACACCACTTTGCTAATCTAGTAGAGCTCCACATAACAGTTAAAAAATTTGTATCATTTAAATTCGGATTTGTATTGCCCATTTGGTGCACAATTAATTTGAAATCGGATAAAGATATATATGGGAGCTATATCCAAATCGGAACCGATCTTGAGAAAATTTGACAAAGATATTTCTGAGCTGTATTTGATATATTTCCCTGAATATCGTTGTTACGGAGTGCATAATACGGCTATGGGTAACAAATTTAACAAATCGGATGAAACGTAAAAATATGGGAGCTATAGCTATATCTGAACCGATCTTCAACAAATTTGGCATACTAGATTCTAGACTCAATTCGGTCGTAAGTGCTAGATTCCATCCCATTGGACAAATATTATACGTTTAGTGCACAATAAAATGTAAATCGAACGAAGTTATATATGGGAGCTATATCCCAATCTGAACCGACCTCGATAAAATTTATCAAATGTTTTTCTGAGATGTATTTGATATATTTCCCCAAATAATGATGTTACAGAGGAGGACAAAAATAACAAAGCGGATGAACAATATATATGGGAGGTATAGCTATATCTGAACCGATTTCAATCAAATTTAGCATACTTATTTTCAGACCTAATTTGGTTGTATGTGCAAAATTTTATTTTCAGACCTAATTTGGTTGTATGTGCAAAATTCCATACTATTCGGGCTGATATTAAACGTTTGGTGTAATATCAAATCAAATCGGACGAAGATATATGACAGCTATATCTAAATTTGGACCGATTATCTCCAATTTCAATAGGGTTCGTCCTCGGGCCAAACAAATGATTTGTGCAAAACTTCTTCTGGATAGGGCAATAAATGCGAAATGTAATGGTTTACAAAAATACATGGACGCATGCTGAGTCCTGTTGGCATGTCCAAAGTCTGCGGCCAAAATGTTTGCGTGCCCAAGGCTTTAATACGCCCTCCAGAATATTTTCGTGATAAAATTCGGCATTTATTTTGATTATTACGACCATCAGCTGTTATGGAGCCCACACCATCACCATGGCCGGCGCTTGAGTTCTGGTGGCCAAACGAAGGTATAAATTTTCAGCTGACATCTTTGGCAATTAAACACGATCAATTTTTTGTTTACAAATTGCTGGACAACGATTGTTTTCTAATCGGAGGAAACCAAATTCGGCAGCTCACCACTGTCGGCCAAGCGAAGCAACTCTGTAGCTGTTTTGAGTCTATTTTCCTTGGGTTGCAGTGTAAGTTCTGTCACTTTTTGGAATTTTAATGGCTTTAACCCGAGCTCATTTTTCAATATTTGCCGAATAGAATATTGCGATATGTTCAGCTCACGAGCAATTTTTCGGCCTTAACCAAAATACTTTTGTACGCTTGTAAACAATATAATGAGCTGTCACCGGAATAATTTTAACAGCTGTCGGACGAGTGGCTTAGAAATGACAGCAGTCTGAAGTTGGTTGCTGTTTTTATACCCTTAACCTTGTAAAAGACGGTATATTTACTTTGTTATTCTGTTTGTAACATCCTTAAATATTCGTCGTAGACCCCATAAAGTATATATATTCATAATCAGCATAAAATTCTAAGTCGCCTGTCTGTCTGTATGTCTGTCCGTCTGTCTGTTGAAATCACGATACAGTCCACATTATTTGACGTAGAGCGAGAGCAAAATTTAGCAGAGCAATTTGTATTGTGTCTAGAATGGTTGGTATTGAAAATGAGATATATCGGTCCACGTTTTGGTATAGCCTTCATATGACTGTACCTGCCGATATTCGGTATTTTGATGGTTTTTGTCACATTTTTTTCACTGATTTGTCTAAAAATTGGTATTTGTAGGTCATAGTGGGTCCTAATTCGTGTGGCGAAAGATTGTATATACAGGTGGTCCACGTTTTGATATAATCCCCATATAACGGTACCTCCTAATATTCGATATTTTGATGATTTTTGACACATTTTTTTTTTACGAATTTCTCTGAAAATTGGTCATAATGGGTCCCAGTTCGTGTGGCGAATCATTGTAATTATACGTCCCCGATTTGGGTATAGCCCCCATATAACGGTACCTCCCGATATTTGGTATTTTAATTGTTTTTGACACATTTCTTCGAATGGTATTTGTTGGTCCAAATGGGTTCTAGCTCTTTTGGCGAAACACTGTATGTATAGGTCCACGTTTTTGTATTTCGTATTCGTATTTCCCTATATTCGGTATTTTAATGATTTTTGGCACATTTTTCCATGAATATGTCTAAAAATTGGTATATGTGGGTCAAATGGACTCTAATGTTTCCTCTATCCTAAGGTGGAGGGTATTAAAAGTTTGGCCCGGCCGAACTTAATGTTTTTTTACTTGTTTTCATCTCACCTTTTATGGTTTCTTTAGAACCTCCATTTTCGTTTCTTCTTCCTGTCATTCCAAAAAAATTATCCCTATTATTAATAAGAATTAACTCCCCTCCCCAACTCTTCATGACCTTCCTTGGAAAAAAGTATTGGTCGTCTATAACATGTGGAAGCAAACATATAATTGTTTGTTTTGCTGTTAATGAGAAATTTTAGACGGTAACCACTGGTCATTAGTTTTATGGGTCGCCGTTTTTTTGGATGAAAAATAAAATACTTTTGTGGGGGTATGATGATGACCAGAATGTTTGTTCTGGCTGATTGTTTGAATGATGGGGCTGTCGACGACAACTGCTACCAAACCGTGTTCTACATATTGACCATGTCATTTGTTTGGTCATGTCAACCAAAAAAAAAAAAAAAAGAAAAAACAATGAAATAACAAATGAATAATATGCACCTTTATATTCCTTGGCCATATACACATAAAATCCGCTGCTTGTCCTTATTCCTCCTGTCCGTCAACGTCACACATTTATTGGTGATCCAAATTTATTTTGACAGGGGTTTTAGTATTTTTGTTAAAAAGGTTCCATGAACTTAACTTTTTGATTTAGTTGTTAGCCGGCTTTCTGGGGCAATACACGTGCGGTTCGCTCAAAATACATTTCGACTTTTGGACATTTGTAGCAAGTCAGTCAGTTAGTCAGTCAGCAACCTGTCATTAGTGGTGTTGTTGGATACATTTATTTATTTATCTGTGTGGTTGAGTATTCCAGCCATTGTCCTGAAGTTGTTGTTACTAATATTAAAGCACTCACAAAGGAGTAGAAGTAGAATATTTAAGTGAAATTAACATTTATTTGATTGATTGTTGAAATATTGACTTTAATTGTGATGACTCATGATTTATAGATAATTTTAAATTTTTTTTCTTTTATTAATTTTTAATTGCAGTACTACCCATGAATGGTCAGCTGCCAAATGATAGTGGCCGTCGGAGGCGTGGAAGCGATGGTAAGTTTTGACAGTATGAAAATAATACGGGCTGGGTTTATTTGATGTAGACTTACGGTGGACCCGGGCAACTATGCAACCTTTTTTTCGAAAGAGGATACAATGTTTTAGAACATTAATGCAATACTTTTTATAGCTAATTAAAAATGGGAAGAAGTTATACATAAAAAAAAATATTCATTTGGATCAGGACCCTGCACGCCAGAAGACCCTCCAGCCCGGCCCTGAACATGGTTTATGTTCTGTCATTTTCAGTTCATTTTCGATGAAAACGTTAATTTCTTCCAGGTTCAACCTCCACGGATTTGCTTTGAATTCTGATCTAAATTACCGACCACATTTTAATTACCAAATGCATTTTCCGAATATTAAGTTGCTCAGACTACGGTATTATTGGACTGCGATATAATGTAAAGCCACAAAAAAATATTTGAAAATCCTGATAGAACATTTGTTCTCGGAATTTTTCTGGTCCAAAAAAACTCAAAAATTTTCTTGCAGTGATGTCTTATGGAAGACGACCAAAGGGACTTTTTATAACATTAGCCATATGGCTAGAGAGGTTTTATATAATTGGATACGGCCAACACATGCCTCATCGAAACAACGGCTTTAGACTCTTTGGACCAAATCCGTTTCAGGACATTTAGAGGCGATCTAACGATGTATATCCATCCGTCTGTATGTCTGGCTGGAGCGCACGATAACCCTCGAAGGGAGTATCCGATTTGGTCCACACTTGGTTCATCGTAATACTTTTATCAAACTTTGATCGAGCTCGGAGATGGGCAATATCGGTCCACTCTTTCTGGCATCTCCCCCACAAAAGGGCGAAGCTTTCAAAAAATAATCTACTACACAGGAAGAGAATCGATAATCCTAATACTTGATAGGTTAGGTGCGAAATTAGACAATATCGGGCCACTCCATCAAGTACCTCAATCACAAATGGTCAAAATTTTGAATAATTATAACAACATCGGGTCACTCCATTAAGTACCTTCCCCACATAGGATCAAAATTTTGAATAATTATAACTCTTATAAAACGTGATGTAAGATTCCGATTGTCTTCGAATTACACACATCACAATATTTTTATTAAACCAAGATCTGGTGTGAAGATGGACTCCTTGTGGTACCTCTCCCCCAAAGGGTCAACATCTTAAATATCCATGAAGCTCATAACACACGAAATTAACATCCGATTCCATTCAGACTTGGCAAATCTTAATCTTTCTACTAACACAAGATCTTTTATAAAAATGGTAGAGATCGGACCATTACTTCTGTTACCTCCCCCCACAAAGGGTCAAAGTTTTGAATAACCAAACAATTAATTAACCAACCTTTTAATGTTTGAAGATGAGATGTATCGGTCTACTCCTTCTGGTACCTCTCCCACGAAGGGTCAACATTTTGAATATCTATGGAGCTCATAAAACGCGAAACTAATATCCGATTAACATCAAATTTTACACATACACACATTTTTTGTAACGCAAGATCTCTTATGAAGATATATCCAGAATGTCTTCTATTGGAGGGATATAAGATTTTCTCGCCGAGGACCATAGATTTGCTCGAACCAGACTAAAAGGCTTTTCCTGATGTGACAAGAAGGCCGTCTCGCGGAAGTCTTTTCAGGATTTCTCTAAGAAGACCATAAGCTCTTCTTGTAATGGAAAGAAGGTCTTTTCGTTGTGGACCAGAAGGTCCTCTCATAAAGACCAAAAGGACTTCTTTATAAAATGAGAGAGTATTCTCATTGGACTGGCAGAACGGGCAGAGGTCTTCCCATAGCAGAGTATAAGGTAAACGTATAGTTGAGCAGAAGGTTTGCTCACGGAAGTGTTTGCTCAAAGCAAAAATTCTGCTCTCAAAACATCCGAAGCTTTGCTCACAGCTAAGCAGGCGATTGTCGCACAGCAGAGCAGAAGGACTGCTTATAGCTGAGCAAAAGTTTTGATCCCCGCAGAGTAGAAAGTCTGGTCATAGCAGAGCTGAAAGCATAGCATGGAGTAACGTCGTTTCATCGCAGAGAAGAATGTCGTGTATTCGTAGAGAAAACTGACGGCTCATCGAAAAGCAGATGGTTTGCTATATCGCCAGGTTCTTTTTTTCCAAAAATAACTGATAATTTTGGGCATTGAATTGCTAATTGAAAGGAGTTTTTGGAGGAACTCCTAAATTGAACAATTTTTCATCAAACTTTCTCATTTTTATTACGCTGCTAGATTAACACTCATGTCTCAAATGATATGTATATATATCATAAATTTAGGTTAGCCTGTACATAGTAATCAATTCCTTATCTATGGACATTAAGGACATTATCTTATTTACACATAGTTTCACAGTGTTGGTCTTTAAAACAACTTCATTTTTATACATTGCCAGCTTAAGAAAGTGTAAAGGTCATTTGCTCTTTCTTATATCTCTAACAAGAAGCAAAAACACATACCCACATATATCAATTAATTGGTTTAATGGAAGGAAACTCCCAAAAATAGTTGAGATAAACAGTTTTTTATTTGTCCAAGTGGAATGAAAGTACACGAATAATATTTAAACAAAATTGTTTGAAATAAAAATAAAAAAAAACAACAACAGAATTGAAGCTACTTTGTTACACGTCATATGTCTCAATTCTCATGGGAAATATTCAAACAATTAACAAAATTAAAATTAAAACAATTCAATTATCAGTTTATTTGAAATAAAGGTAGGGATAGGCAGGTGGTAGAAAGGGCTGAGAGTTTGGTTGGGCCAACCCTCTTTTGACCTGCAATACAAAGAGATATTTTTTAATGCTGAGGTGGCACAATCAAATTTCATGTTGGTTTCAAAATATTGTAGGAGACAAGTAGGTGATTATTTAAAAATGTAATATAACGCTGTGGATTTTTATATTAAATATTTAGAGAAATAATAAGCTACTGTGTCTTTAATATTCACCTGAAAATGACGTTGCCTAAAGTCGGAATATTGGATATAAAAATCAAAATTTTAAAAATAAGATACTGACTTTTTTTATTTGACCTCAATTCAAAACAAGGAAAAAACAGTATGTTCGGCTGGGCCGAACTTTGAATACCCTCCACCAAATATAAAAAAATTGGAAATTTTCAAAAAAAAAAAAAAAATCCCTTGACAATTTTGTTTACATTTAAAGAATGCAGAATATAGAGGTTTGCAGTTATATAGGTGTCCATACGAAAACGTCTAAAGGGAGGTACCGAAGACCTCGACCTGCATAGGCAATTTTTTGTCACAGGTTTTAGTACTCGTTACGAAGTACAAATACGAAATAAAAACCATTCCGGTGAATAATGTAGCCAAAATCATAAAAATACAGAGTATAGGGAGGTGCCGATATACGAGGGGCTATACGAAGATGTGGCTCTGCATAGACAATTTTATATCTCAGACTGTGGTACCTTTTAGGAACTTCGAATAGGTAATTTGAAGCTATTTAGGTGAATAATGTAGCTAAAATTATCAAAATACCGAATATAAAGAAGTAGAGTTATGTGGGGGCCTTTATAGCTCATTTTTAATACCAAAAGTCTTGCAAATTAATTGCACATTTTTATGATTTCTTCGATTGATAATCACGGATTTCGGGAGCAAATCAGATCAATAACACTGGACTTTTTAGGTGGATTTCACTAATTTTTAAAATAAATTTCTCCAATTTCAGATTTTGAAAAACTACTTTGAAAACCTATTTTGGCAAAAAGCGATTAAAAAAAGATTATCTGGAATTTATTCTTGATTTTTAAATGATTTTTGAAAAACTTTCTATGCTATAGTCGTGAATTGGTTCTATCTGAGGTGTAATTGTAAATTTTCAAAATGTGAATTTTTCGAAGGACTAGTTGGTTTATAATTCTTAAAATCAAATATTGAAGGACCAGATTGGCTCAAATCGTCCGTTTTAATATCCTACACCACGTAGTGGTTTCCATCACGAAAAACTAACTTTTTTTTTGGAAAATTTTCACCGAAATGCTTTTGTACGCTTGTAAATAAATAAATAAAGTAATAATAATAATAATAATAATAATAATAATAATAATAATAATAATAATAATAATAATAATAATAATAATAATAATAATAATAATAATAATAATAATAATAATAATAATAATAATAATAATAATAAAATAATAATAATATAATAATAATAATAATAATAATAATAATAATAATAATAAAATAATAATAATAATAATAATAATAATAATAATAATAATAATAATCATAATAATAATAATAATAATAATAATAATATAATAATTATAATAATAATAATAATAATAATAATAATAATAATAATAATATAATAATAATAATAATAATAATAATAATAATAATAATAATATAATAATAATAATAATAATAATAATATAATAATAATAATAATAATAATAATAATAATAATAATAATAATAATAATAATAATAATAATAATATAATAATAATAATAATAATAATAATAATAATAATAATAATAATAATAATAATAATAATAATAATAATAATAATAATAATAATAATAATAATAATAATAATAATAATAATAATATAATAATAATAATAATAATAATAATAATAATAATAATAATAATAATAATAATAATAATAATAATAATAATAATAATAATAATAATAATAATAATAATAATAATAATAATAATAATAATATAATAATAATAATAATATAATAATAATAATAATAATAATAATAATAATAATAATAATAATAATAATAATAATAATAATATGGTGGTGGAGGGTATTACCACCATTGGAAATTTTCAAAAAATAAAATCCTTAACCGTTATATGGTGGCTATACGAAGACGTGGACCTGCACAGACAATTTTCCGTCAGAGGAAAATTGAAACAATTCTGGTTAATAATATCGCTAAAATCATTAATAGCCTTCCATCTCAATTCGTTTGAAAGATTACAGCAGACAGTCAGACGGGCAGACAGACAGACGAACATCGCTAAATCGTCTTAGAATTTTACGCTGATCAAGAATATATATACCTTGTTGGGTCTCCCTCCATAGTATGGTGGAGGGTATAAAAATAAAGTCTATTAGAGGACTTTTCTAAGCTTCCTCTCTTAAATAACTTAGTGTGGATGTCGTGGATTGAATAATGACGATGTTGACAAATTAATAAAGAGAGAAAGAAACGGTAAAGAAAGTCTAAAAGTTGGGCGGCCACGTCTTTATGATATCCTACACCGCTTTGTATATTTAGTAGATCTTCATATAACAAATAAAAAATAAAAATATAACCAATCGGATGAACAATATGGAGCTACAGCTATATCACGTTTGGTGCACAATAAAAGACAAATCGGACGAACATATATATGGGTGCTATATCTAATCTGAACCGATTTCTATAAAATTTGGGAAAGGTATTTCTGTGCTGTATTCGATATATTGCGGCTTCGGAGAACAAAAATATCAAATCGGATGCACATTATATACATTAGCTAAATCCGAACCGATTTCGATCAAATTTGGCATACTTATTTCCAGGCGTATTTCGTACTATTTGGGCTGATATTACATGTTTGGCAATCGTATGAAGATATATATGGGAGCTCTATCTAAATTTTGACCCACTTTCTCTAATTTTAATAGGGTTTGTGCTTGAATGCAGGATTTTCAGGGCTCTGGATTTCCCATTTGGACGGTGCTATTGTTTCAAATCTTAATTTTTTTGCATTAAAATTTTCAACAATTATCGTTTTCCTTGCAAAAAGAAAAAACTAATATCTTCCTGCCTTTTGTTTATTGCCCGACCTTGAGTTGTGATGGCGATAAAACTTTTACTTTCACTTTTCAAATTTTCCGTTCTCACTTCAACTTACTTTGACTTAAGAAAATTTATAGTAATGTCATTTTCATTGCTTTCAATGATTGCACTTGAAAACTAATTTCATGAATTGCTGGGCGAGAGTATTTGGGCGAGAAATGGCAAACTTTTACATCGAAACGCCTTTTTTTGGTTTTATTTAAAGAAGTCATCGTGTGAAATAAATCACAAAACGAAAAAAACTGAACTTTTCAAAAATAACTTGTCTTGATTGACATGCAAACATGCAATAAATAATAATTGAAAAACAAAAGTTTTTCACAGGCAAGGAAAAGACACAAGAAAACGGTGGCGGAGAAAAGAACTTTAAATTAGTTCACACACACACACACAGACAAATATTTTGGCGAAAGGAGTAACGGAATTGTAATTTTGTTGTTTTTGTTTGCAGATTTTTCCATCAAGCTCTCCACAATACGAATATGGATGCATGAAAAGGAAATTGGTAAACTAACCCGCATATTATGGGCTGGCCAGGGGAATCGTTTAAGGCAACAGGCCAGCACCAATCCCAGGGTCAAGAGATTTCTAGCAGCAGTGCCTTATGTGATGGTGAGAGCCAAGGAATCCTTGAGGATATGATTAAAAGGATTTAATTTGTGTGTCTCTTATTTCCTCTTTTAGAATTCCATTCGCGATGTCCATCAAGCGGTAATCGACAACAATTTGGAAAATCTTCAGGCTCATTTGGAACCACCTGTACCACCGGCCTTGGTGACATGTCGCGATGCAAATGGCCTAAATCTGATACACAAAGCGGCCGGCCTTGGCCATGCCACAATCTTGGAATATCTGATCACCACCTGGCCCGATGGCGTACACGAGTGTGATATAACCGGCAAGACCCCCCTGCATTGGGCTGCCAGTGCCAAAAATAATATGCGCTGTTACACGCTGCTCACGCAAGCTGGCTGTGACGAGGAAGCCGTTGACTATGTAAGTTTGTCACTTTGGCGAAATTAAAAACTTCAAAAATTCCAGCGTCAATGGGTTTTGATTGAAATGCTTTGTTTTTCTGTTGTCTTCCATATGCGTTCTCTCATTTTTTTTTTGATCTGACATTGACAATCGTTGCGACAAATTGAAAAAATAGAAAATGAAAACGCCTTCATTTTATCGCCATAAACCGCATGAAATCGAAAGGGCGTTTCTGACGTATGTTCCCGAGGCACCACGAGTATCACCGGATGTGGCCACAGATTGGGAGGCCTTGAGTGATGACAGCGGTGATGGCAAGGTGGGTATATCGGGGGGTTTTGTCAAGGTGCTGTGGAAGATAATTTAATGGTTTTTTGTATATGGATTTTTTTTTGGTATTTTTGGTATGTCTTTAGAATCCCAACATCAAAATACCCGAAATGAATGGTTTCGGTAGACATTCCAATACGGAGAGTAATGAAAATACATCGGAAGCTGAAATGACGGAGGGGTAAGTATTGGGGGATTTATTTTGCTTTATTTTTGATAGAATTTAATCGGGGATTTCAGGGATATTTTTTATAGAATATCGGTAAGGGAATAGTTGTGAACTTTCAAAAGTGAATTTTCTGGATCATTCGTGTATTTAACATTTTTTCGAATCTAAAAAAAAAGATTTTGCAAGAATAGTTGTGGTTTAAAAAACTAAAATATTTTTGAAGGAGGGAGGTATGGAAGCAATGATCTTAAATATACCTTTTAAGACTTCAATTATAGTTTTTTTTTTTTATTTTGAAAAATTAAAATTATTTTTTTTACAACGGTACTTTTGATGTTTATTATTAAAAAATCTCAAATCACGAATTTCAATTTTTTTATAATTACAAATTTTTACAGAATATTTTTTCAGTATTTTTCTAGGACTATCTTGACTCTTACATTGAATTTTATACACATTTAATTACTTTAATCGTTGATTTTTAAGAATACTTTGAAGGACAATAATAGTAAATTTTTGAGATTATTTTTAAGGAACTGTAAGGTATTTCTAAGAAGGAATTTTAAAGATTTGTGCAGTTTTTTTATTATTACAGATATTATCGAGATGGAGCAAATTTTTGAAGATTATAAAAAAAACTAGGGCTCTTGCTCTGGGTCTTGTTTTTTTAAGTTTTAAAAATCCTGAATTTTTATATTTTTAAATCTCGGATCGTGGTTTTTAGAAATATTTTCAAGTAGGAATATGTGTGATACAATCGCGATTTATTTAAGAATATTTTTTTTACAATTTGTTTTAGGATTATGCGGGGCTATATTGGAATTTTTGTTCATTATTTTGGATATTTAGAAATTTCAAGGCACAAAACGTAGATTTTTTAAAGAAAAGTTTTTTTACGGACTATAACCCAGCGAAGATTTTTAAAAGAATATTTTTTTTAAGGCTATCATTGAATGTGAGTTTTTTTAAGCAAATTTTTAGGAGCTATCTGGTGGATAAAAGTGAATTTAAGCCAGTAAGGAAAAGTCAAAAGTCGGGCGGGCCGACTATATGATACCCTACACCACTTTGCATATTTAGTAGAGCTCATACGTCCCGAAATTTACTCCATTTTGGTTGATATTAGCCATTATTTGTAGAATTAACCCGAAATCGGTTGAATATATATATGGGACCTCTATCCGAATCTGAACCGATCTTGATAAAACAAATATATGGGAGCAATATCTAAGCCGATGTTCTCCGAATTTGATGTACTTGCTTCGAAACTGAATTCGGGACTTTAAACCCCAAATTGAATAAAACATATATATAAGAGCTATAGCTATATCTGAACCGTTTTATACCAAATTTAAAGTACTTGGTTATACGATGAATTCAGTCGTAATAGCATAATGTAAAGGGTTGCCCATATTCGACGGACCCATCTGGCAACGCCATAACTTTTGACAGATATGTCACATCGCTTAATGACATATCGCGTTTGAAGCGTCAGTCCAAGAAGATTTTTGCCATGAACCAATACACGCCACGCGAGCGCTCTGAAATAGTTGAAATTTACAAGAAGTCAATTGTGAAAACTCTACGTGCTTTTAAAAAATTAAAAAATGTGAGAAGTGCGCCTTCTAAGAACACCATTAAGCGTTTATACGAAAATTTTTCGACTGGTAAGGCTTTTTCTAATCCGAAGAGGCCATATAAAAGTCGACCAAGGCGATCGGCCGAGAATATCGCTGCCGTACGAGCCAGTGTTGAGAGGTCCCCAAGAAGATCCCAAAAACGCCGTTCTCAGCCGTTGGGCATGGCTCGGTCCACTTTACAACGGAGTATTCGCATTGATTTGCATTTGTTCCCGTACAAAATTCAATTGACGCAAAGAATGTTGCCTGCGGACAAGCCTCGTCGATTAGAATGGGCGCAAAGGTCCGTCGAATATCGGCAACCCTATATATGGGAGCTATATCCTAATCTGAACTTGACAGAGGTATTTTCGAGCAGTATCTGATGTCCGTTACCAAACATCATTGTTGTGAAGTGCATATTACGCATGTGAGGGACTTAAAACTCCAAATGGGATGAAACATATTAATGGGAGCTTTAGCTATATCTGAACCGACTTTTCCCCAATTTGATTTACTTGCTTATAGACTGGTCATTGGGACTTATATTAGCCATATGCGAGCTGTATCTAAATCTGCTCCGATTATCAGCAATTTCAATATGTTTCGTCCTTTGGCCAAATAAACATTGTTTGCAAAATTTCATCTCAATCGGATAATAAATGCGACCTGCATTTTGTTCACAAGAATACATGGACGGACTGGTATGCGTAAATCGACTCAGAAATTGATTCTATGAACATCCTCAAAAGTAAGTATGGGTATATCTGCTTCTTTCTCTATGTTACAAACTAATGCAGAAAGACATAATACCCTGTGGTGTAGGGTATACAAATATTTTTCCTAGAAAAATGAACTTGAATATTCATAGAGAATATTTTTTCAAGGACAATATTTTTTTAAGGTTATTAAACGTGGATTTTTTAACGTATATCATACCAAATATGGATTAAAAAATATATATTTCAAGGACTATCAGAGGACTTTTCTTAATTGGCATTGTTTTAGGGACTATCATTGAAATAACCTTATATTTTTAAAGATTATTTTTAAGGACTATTAGAGCACCAAACCTGGATATTTCAAAGCATAATTTACAGGGAACTATCACACATCCATATGTAGATTGTTTAAAGAATATTTTTACAAAGATTATCAAGGATAAAAGGATTTTTTGAATAAGATTTTTAAGGACTATATTGTTGATAAATAAACTTGATATTTTAAAAGAATTGTAGACCACCTAACGTATATTTTAAATAATATTTTCAATGACTGTTACAGCAATGAAGGTGAGAGTTTTTTCAATGACGCTATAGAATATTTTATCAAAAATTTCAAGGAACATGTGGGATAAAATTGCAGATTTAAGTTTTTATTCAATATTTCGTGGGTTTTCTAAAAGATATATATATATATATATATATATATATATATATATATTTTTTTTTTTTAATTTTCAAGGATAGAGGATTTCATTTTTATACCCTCCACCTTGGAAAGGAGGGTATATTAACTTTGTCATTCCGTTTGTAACATCCTTAAATATTCGTCGTAGACCCCATAAAGTGTATATATTCATAATCAGCATAAAATTCTAAGTCGATTTAACGATGTCCGTCTGTCTGTCTGTCTGTTGAAATCACGATACAGCCCACATTATTTGACGTAGAGCGCCAAAATTTAGCAGAGCAATTGGTATTGTGTCTAGGATGGTTGGTATTGAAAATAAGATATATCGGTCCACGTTCTGGTATAGTCCCCATATAACGATACCTCCCGATATTCGGTATTTTGATGATTTATGCCACATTATTTAACGGATTTGTCTGAAAATTGGTATTTGTAGGTCATAACGGGTCCCTGTATGTGTGGCAAAACATAGCATGTATAGGTCCACGTTTTGGTATAGCCCCCATATAACGGTACCTCCCGATATTCGGTATTTTGATGGTTTTTGCAACATTTTTTCACTGATTTGTGTAAAAATTGGTATTTGTGAGTCATAATGGGTCCTAGTTCGTGTGGCGAAACATTGTATGTATAGGTCCACGTTTTGGTATAGTCCCCATATAACGGTAGCTCCCAATATTCGGTATTTTGATGATTTTTGACTGATTTTTTCACGAATTTCACTGAAAATTTGGTAGTTGTAGATCATAATGGGTCCCAGTTCGTGTGGCGAGTCATTGTAATTATAGGTCCACGTTTTGGTATAGCCCCCATATAACGGTACCTCCCGATATTCGGTAATTTGATGATTTTTGCCCCTTTTTTCACGTATTCCTTTACCCTAAGGTGGAGGGTATTAAAAGTTTGGCCCGGCCGAACTTAATGTTTTTTTACTTGTTTTTTATTAAAAACTACGTGGGTTTTCTAAAGACTAGTTTTTCCATATTTTTCAAGAACTATCTGGGTAAAATCAAAAATTAGAATGGTTTTCAATTTCGGGAACAAAATTGAAGATTTACATCAATACTTAATGGATTTTTAGAAAAATGTTTGTTTCAATATTTTCGAGGAATTTCCGGAATAAATTTCAGAATTTTTTAATGTATCGTGAGTTCTCTAAAGATTATTGCTTATGCACTATCAGAGCTATTATCTAGGATTTTTTCAATACGCTTTCAATGTGGATTTTATTGTAATATTTTCAATAGGTCAGGACTGCTGATTTGGGATGGAAATATTTTAAAAGTCTAATTTAGCTAATATATAGTGGATCGAAACATAATTGTGAAAGTCTCCCAGATCTAAAATCATGAATTTAAAATCAATTTAATTTATTTTCCCTTCAAAACACAGCGCAAGTGCAGCGGATGACGATGATGCTGGTGGTGGAGACGATGAAGCCCTAACAGAAGAACCAGAAAAAGAAGAAGAACCTGCCGCTGAAGAAAATGGTGATGGAGATGCTGAACCAGCGGCTGATGAAGAAGAAGAGCAGGCTGAAGAAGAAAAACCTGCCGAAGATGAGACCGAAGATAAGAAAGAAGAAGAAAACGCCGAAGAAACCGAAAATGCTAACGAAGAAGCCCAAACTAATGACGATGAGGCTACAGCTGAAGACAAAGAAGAACCACAAGATGAAGTAAGTACTCTCAATTTCATTTAACTTTTTTGGCTTTCATGTGCACCCTTAAGAAGCTAGGAACTGTAAATACAATTTGTTTAGGAAGAAAGGCTTTCCAAATTTATTTGAAACTAGAATTTGCTAGGCCAAAAAAAAAAAAAAACAGCTTTTCCTATGTTATGATTTTGTTACTTCGTATTTTTTCCTTGCAAAAGAAACAATTGGGATTGAAAGTAAAAAACTATTGTTAATTTGAAAAAAAATTTACTCGTTTTGTAAATATTTCTTTTATGTTTAAAAAAAAAGCTTAAAGGCACATTAAATTTATCTATGCAAAAAAAGCTATGCTTGTTCGTCTCTTAAACTTGTAGCCCAAATCCCATTACCCACAATGTTTTACTGACAAACATGAGATGAGAACAAAATGAACTTGTTTTTTGTTAATGAACAAATGGTCTGTTAAAAGTAAGCCATTGTCGGCCTTGATTTTATTTCCTCATCTTCAAGAGTTTGCGAGTTTTCAGTTCATTTTGTTTTGTTGTTCCTAAATATATTTCCTATAACTCTATCTTAAAATTGGAAAATAGATTTGTCATCATTCCTACAGGTGGAAGTCATTGAGCTAGACATACTCTCGTGTGTTGATATAGAGGGTTTTGGAGGAAGAGAGTGAGCGTTTATAAATATCTGTGAAGGATAATGACTCTTTTTACGGACATTGAGGGGGTTTCTCCTTCACTGGAAGAAAGTGCAGACTTTCAATTAGTTTTTTTAATTTTACTGAAGGTTTTTGTGTACAAGAATTCGAGTAGATATAATAAATACGAATGATTTGTCCCCCTTATTTTGCGTAGTGAAAGCTTATAGATGTATTTAGGTACATATTCTGTAGGTTGGATATATTTCATAGGTATTATGGGGATGGAATACCATCTACAGGTATTTGAGAAATGAAGGACTCTATACAGGTCTAATATTAACAGACAGGCGTTCTTTTATAGATAGCAAACCATTTGCATGGCTACTGCTCATCTACAGGTCTCTTTCAAATGGAGAACGTACCACAAGTATTCCTGCGGAAGTGCGCCGCCTACAAGTCCGATACGATCTTTTTTAGATAGGGTTTCCATCTTTTACAGATTTTGTAGGATTTTTTTTATTCAAGTCTTCTATGATCATATTAGTTCCTACAATATATTTCCAAAGACTCTATGCCACAAAATCGAGGATTTAAATTTGTATTTAATATTTCGTGGGGTTACTAAAGAATATTTTTTAATACTTTCAAGGACTCACTATTTGGGATATAATTGAGGATTTCAATTTTTGTTTTAATATTTCTAAGAAGATTTTCTAAAGAAAATTTGCTTATGAAGGGCTACAGATATTCCAGAAGAAGAGGGCCATCTACAAGTCCGATTCCGTCTTTTTTGGATAGGTGACAATGTTTTAACGTACCTCATTCTCTACTTAGAAGACTATGTAGAATGAATTCCTTCGACAGGTTCTGTAAATAGGAGACCTTTTACGAGCCTTCTACTTTGTTGGCAAAACACCCTCTGTGTGTCTTCCATACTACGTTTTGATAAGACAACCCCATTAAATATAAGGCTGGTCTGCTGGACTTCTGTTTCCACTATAGACCTTCTTCAGATCTGTGAAGCCTTTCATCCGGCCTTCTTCTTTGAGTTTTTTATTGAAAGATGAACTTCTTTCACAGTTCTGTGAATAGAACACCTTCTTTTGGTCTCCTTAAGATAGAAAATCTTAAATCTTCATGACTTCTAATAATAGAAGACCTTCATCAGGTCTACTCAAAACATGAAGGCCCTCTTCAGGTTTTTTGAAAGCCCGTTAGTGGTAATCCTTTGATATAGAATTCTCTACAGGTCAGACTGTCTAGATGCTCTATAGATAGAAGACCTAAAGTAATTCTGTAGATAGGAGGTCTGGTAAAGTCTTCTAGAGGTAATACATAGACATACAATCATTTACAGATCGTTAATGGAAGATCTTTAAATGTTCTATAAGATGTAGTCCTGTGAAAGCCATCTGAAAAAAGCTCTTCACAATTCTATAAATTGAAAATAGTCTAGAGTTCTGTATAGAATCTACTTTTCTGGAGGATATAAGCCCTTAACAATGTCTTCTGTTCAGACATTTTCAAAATAGAAGACGTTCTTCAGATCTTCAATAAAAAAATTGAGATTCTTTAGCTCTTCAAAGGACAGATTAGATTTTTCAAGTCTTTTCTAGATATCAGGTCGTCAACAGATCTTTTGCGCAAAGAACCTTCAGGAGACTTTCTAAATACTTTCTGTTCTACACGGAATTATGCTCTCAAGCTTTCTTCAAATCTCCAGGGATGCTTCATACATGGGATTTTGTAAATATCTTCTATTGAGAGAAGTTTCCATTAGGAGATGAGTCTTCTTTTTAGATGAGAAGTATTAAAACAGAAGAGTTACTTGGTCAGCTTTGACCAGGGGTCGGCATTCGTTTAACATTTAAAATAACAAAGGCACAACACATTTATAACAACCGGCGCTCCAGTCTGCATTGAGCTCTCAATGATAATATTGTTGCTTGCTTTCATGATTTTTAGTTTTTAAAATTGCCGAGCCCTGGCATTTATCAAATATATGAAAACAATTAATAACACAACCGGCAATGCCATGGAGATGGGAGTAGTGGCTGTTTTATCTGTGGTTTCTTGCTCCCTCCTCATTTTCCAGCGAATAGCTCAATACCGACCCCTGATCTAAACAGGCTGTCGAACCCAGATTTAGATAAAATATCTTCTAAATGCCTTCCTTGTATAACAAGGTGACCGGTGGATTTTTTTTTAAGTGGAATTCCACCTTAAGCGTTATTCTCACTTAATTTCTTTACTCTCCCCCCACATTCTTGCTCTCTCCTTTTCAATACATGCTCTCAGAAAATATGTTTAGCTCACCACATCTCTTCTTGATGACAAATCGATATTCTATTCTCAAAACTTTGTTCCATATTTCTCTGCTAAATAAACAATGCTTAACCCCCCAAAATATGCAGAGGTTTTATGAATTAAATTTAAAACAAAAATACAAATACAAAAAAAGATACAACAACAAGAAAAAGACAAGAAAATCAGTCGACAATTGTTTACTTTTTACAGAAACAAACACAGTCTGTAAATGAAACGAATGCCACCACCACCACCAACGACAGCGAAACGAATAAGGCCGAAGAGGAGGATCACGAAGGAGAAAATGAAAAACAAAATGACGAAGAAGAGAGTGAAAATAGTAAAGAAACTGTCATCGAAAAAAGTGATGAGGGAGCCCAAGAGAGGGAAGACAATGAAAAGGAAGTCAATGAAAAAGATGAAAAAACCATTGAAACTGCTGAAGAAATAAAGGAAATAGAGGAAAAGCAGGTGGAAACTGAAGACAGTGATAAAAGCGAAAAGAAAAAGGAAGACGATGAAGATTTAGAAAGCCATGACAAAGAAAAGGAAAAAGACGAAGTTGTGGAAAGTCATGATAAAGCAAAGGAGGAAAAGGAAGATCTAGAAAGTCATGATAAAGGAAAGGAGGAGGAAGAAGATCTAGAAAGTCATGATAAAGGAAAGGAGGAGAAGAAAGATCTAGAAAGCCATGATAAAGGAAAGGAGGAGGAAGAAGATCTAGAAAGTCATGATAAGGGAAAGACAGAAGAGAAAAGTGAGGATCAAGTAAAAGAAAATGAACAGGATAGTAGTAAGGAAGCAGAAACAAAAGAGGATGAAAATGAGGCCAATGATAAGGCAAACGAGGTTGAACTGAATGGCAACAATAAAGGTGAGCACAATGAAGAAAAAGGTGATAGTATTAAAGAAGGCGATAATGAGGGTAAAGGCGATGGAAAGGATGTTGTAAAGGATATGGAAGATAGGGATGATCTAACCAAAAACGATCATGAAAAGGATTCGCTAGAAGAAGGAAACCAAGAAAATAATAAAAATAACGAAAAGGATGAGAAAAACGAAACAGTGGAAAACACAAGTAAGAATAATGAAAAAGAAGATGATAATAAAGATAAAGAAAACGACGACCAAACTCAGGGTAAGAATGGAGAATCTAAAACTGAAGGTAAGCATGAAGAAAGCTCGATAAAAGAAGAAACAGAAATCTCAGTAGATTCGGGAAAAGAAGATGGGAATATCTCAAAGAATAAAGAGGACTCCGCAAAAGAAGATGTGAATTCAACAAAAGAAGAAACAATCACGGAAGTGGAAAAAGAAAAGAAAAAGGAGAATGAAACAAATGGCAAACCCGCTGAAAATGAAAATGTGCCAGATGTAGGCTCAAACAAATCCAGTGAAAATGGAAAAGACGAAGAGCAAGTACCAAAGACCGATGACAATCAAAAAGACATTAAAATCATAGAAGAGAAGTCGGAGAATGCGGAAGAAGAAATCAAAAAAGAAAAACTCGGAACCAATGAAAGTTTTGTTAAATTGAATTTAGTTCCAACGGGAATTTTAAAGGAGGACCATAAGGAAACATCGATGAGCGATGAAAAGAAGAAAACGGAGGAGCAAGAAGAAGATGAAAATAATAACAATGCAGTATCGCCCATTAACAATGAAGAAAAAGATGATCAAGATCCTAATAGATCTTCAGAATCCCCACAAAAATCGCCCAAATCCCCAAGTGACACAGATGAGTCCCAAGACATTGAAGATTTCCTCAAGCAAACCCAGCAAGACATTAGCAACAAATTTGATGAAATTAGCGACAATTTAAAAGAAAATGTTAAAGAATTTTCCAATAAAATAAAAAATATTTTTACCACTTCAGATGAAAATGAAAACGACGATAAGAGAGATGGCGAAGAAAGAGAGGACAATGATACCCCCAAGGATTCGAATGAAAATGAATCGAATGATATTGTCGTAGGTAATGCCAATACTCCGAAATCTCAGCACAAAGTGGTGAATGGCAAGGGCAGTGGCCGTAAATCGGGCAAACATCGCTCGGGTGGTGAGAATAGTAGCGAAGATGATGACGACGAAGATGATGAGGTACAATTTGGCACACTCTAAATTCTTCTTTGAGTTTGCCTTTGTTTTGATTTCTAAAAAAAAACTTCAAAGTAGTGTTGGATTGTTGCAAAAAAATTATAACAAAATTCTTTTCACACACAGTTCACCAAACTCTATCTCTATCTTTCTCCCCCCTCTGTAAACTGTTTTTGAAAACAAATCAAAATCTTTTGCACTGTGGATTCGTATACGATTTAAAACCAAAAACAAAAACCCAAAGCAATCTAATTACTAAGTGATATCTATATATGAACCATCAATTACATAATGTTTCCTATTTGAAGTAGTTCCAAATAACTTTGTATGTGTGTGTGATTTCCAGAGCACAGTAGTAGTATTTTGGTCCAAAATAAGAGCATAAGCGATACTCTCAATTATACAATTATATGAAAACAAATGTATTTGTAATAATTTAGTTAAATTTCTAGAAGTTATTGTGTATTGTGTCTCTCAACTCTTCTTTAAGTTATGAAAAATGCTAAATAAACAAGAGTATATGAATTTTATCTGAAATGTTTGTATGTTGATTTTATTCGAAATTTTAATTTTTTTTATTGGAATATATGTGTTTTTTTTCTTGTGTAAAAGCTAAAACGCCAGATTAGGGTATTGGTAAATACAATTCTGAGATAAAATATATTAGACAAAAAACAATCTTTTATAGAAGCTACAAAAATACAGGATCTATTATTGTTTTTGGGGGGCAATCCGTTTTTTTTTGTATTTTAAAATATAAAATAGGATTCCACTGGGATAAGTTACAATTTTTGTGTTTTTTTGTTAATGCTGTATTCTCTCAGAGAGTACATTTTATGCAGTATTATAGAATTGAGAGAGAATTGAATGAATTCTCATTACATACATGCAATTTTTAATTAAAATTTAGAAACTACAGACTTATGTATCTGTAGCCGTGGGTGATGTGACTCCACATTACAGTTACTTTGAAAACAGAGACTAAAATTTCGACTTACTGGCTTAAGTCCGAGTTGAGTAGGAGTTATATTCGATATAATCTGAATTTCGGAATTTAGTTCCACCAACACAATTTTTAACCCATTAACGCCGACGGGTGCGAAAACGCACCAAAAATAGAGGTGTTTTTTAGCATGCATAGGAACGGTTTCATATTTGACATCGTTTTTCTGTTTCTTGGTAAAGATAGTAGATGGATGGGTCTATTTATTTGACTTTGGCTGTTTTTTCATCAGACGTCACATAAATGATGATAAACGCATCGCCAAGTGCAGGTTTTCCCACATGCAAAAAATAACCCTATTATACAAAGAAAACATATAGAAAAATTATATTTTTGAAATATGTATTGGTATGGATCGGTAGCCCTTTGCCCTATATTTACCTCATAAAATTTTCAAAATTGTACATATAAACGTCTTTGCATACATAAGTGTAGTGCGTTTTCGCACCCGTCGGCGCTAATGGGTACTTTTTTACTAAGAAAATTATTTTCGGTTAACCAACGAACCAATGTGCGAACGCTAATGAAGCGCTTCCCAATCAAAATAACTGTCACACGGTCTGCTCTCTGTCACGATCTCTTTAATGCATCATTTCGCATTTTTCTCCCACAAATAAGGGAGCCGGCGTTAATGGGTTAAGCTTATTGAAAGTAAAAGACCATGAGGCTGGAGAGGATGTTAACAACGACTTATATTGTGTCACACAAGCTTACATTACTTATGTTAATGGCATCCTAATCGATCTGCGTTATCGATTATATTGTATCGCTATACTCTTCATGAGCACTAAAGATGGCCCTAAATATATACGTTGCTCCCTTAAATTACAATATCCAACAAAGCTTAATATAGCAAAACCAAAACCAGTAAAGAAAGTCTAAAAGTCCGGCTGGCCGTTTTAATGGGAGAATTCAACATACACGCTATAATTAATTATAATCATAATTATAATTATTATGGGAGCTACTTATAATTATAATTATATATATAATCATCATTATATATAATTAAATAATAATTATATTATAATTATAATTATGTTATAATTATTATAACTATAATTATCGTTGTTATGGAGTGCATATTACGGCTGTGGGTAACAAATATAACAACTCGGATGAACAGTATATATGGGAGCTATAGCTATATCTGAACCGATCTTTAAAAAAAATAGCTTCTAGACTCAATTCGGTCGTAAGTGCAAAAGATTAGACGTTTTGTGCACAATAAAACGTAAATCGGTCGAAGTTTTATATGGGAGCTATATCCAAATCTGAACCGATTTCGGTAAAATTTGACATACTTATTTTCAGGCCTAATTTGGTTGTATGTATAAAATTTCATACTATTCGGACTGATATTACACGTTTGGTGCACAGTAACAAGCAAATCGGACGAAGATATATATAGGAGCTTTATCTAAATTGTGACCGATTATCTCCAATTTCAATAGGGTTCGTCCTTGGGTCAAACAAATGATTTGTGCAAAATTTCATCTGGAGAGGGCAATAAATGCGAACTGTACTTTTTTTACAAAAATACATGGACAGACGGACGAACGGACATGCATAAATCGACTCAGAATGTGATTCTATGCAGATCATCAAAAGGAACTATGGGTCTATCTCGTTTCCTTTTGCCTGTTACAAACAAATACACAAAGACCTAATACCCTGACCATCTTGTGGTGTAGGGTACAAAAAGTGTTCCAAAGTTTCGTTGCCGTCTCGCTCGGATTTGCTCGAAGTTTACTCTACACTCTTCTAAAGTTTACTCTACACTCTTCTAATGCCAAGGTCGATTAAAAAGAGCGGAGAGGGGCCATCGGCTGTTATGGCGGCCCACACCATCACCATGCCCGGCGGATGAGTTCTGGTGGCCAACTAAAGGTGTACATTTTCATCTGATCTTTTTAGCAAGTAAACACGATCATTTTGTTGGTTTACAAATTGCTGGACAACGAATGTATTCTCATCGGAGAAAACCAAATTCGGCAGTTCGCCACTTTCGGCCAAGCGAAGAAACTCTTAAGCTCTTTTGAGTTTATTTTCTTTCTGTTGCGGGGATGGTTTTACCCCGAGCTCATTTTTCAGTGTTTGCCGAATGGAATATTGCGATATGTTCAGACACAAAAGACTTATTCACATTTATATGCTAAAGTGCTCTAACGATAGCCACTTGTGGTTTTCCAGCCAAATATAAGAAAATCACACTATCACGCCTGAATTCCATCACGAATAATTTTTTTCTGGAAAATTCTTACCAAAATTCTTTTGTGCGCTTGAAAACAATATAATGAGCTGTCACTGGAATAATTTTAACAGCTGTCGGACGAGTGGTTTAGAAATGGCAGCAGTCTGAAGTTGGTTGCAGTTTTTTCATCTCACCCTGTATATATAAAAACAAGGCTGGTAATTTAGCCTTCAAATCCTAAACCTTAAAAAATTTTAGAATTTTTTTGAAAAAGAAAAATTTGAAGCTCCATATTTTGACGAAAATATGGACATATATTGAATGAATTTTCATAATATTTACACATCACTGTTTTACAACTTTTTATTCTGAAACATTAATAGCTACTTCTAGTCCATGTTTTTATTTTAAAATTATCGCTTTTGATGGGGAAAAACTGTATTATACTTTAAAATACCGAAAACAAATGTTTTCCTTCTTCTTGCGATAAAGTGAAGCATTTCTCAAGTCTAGCCTGTGTATTTAGAAGAATAAAAATCTACGACTTTGAAATTTTCTATACTAAATTAACATTTTGTGTTCTGTTATAGTCAATTATCCCAAAAGAAGAATTTTATTATTTTTTTAATTAATCTCCGTTTTTTGTATCTTTACTCCTCTGTGGGTCGTTGGATGGTGACTATTCAAGGTTCACATACCTCGACTATACGAAATCGGGGCAATATATATTTTTTTCCACAGTGGTTGGTTCCAAATAATTAAGTTCAAATGTCGACTTTCCAACTATTTCTACCGAAAATTGGATGCTATCGTCATGAAAACAAAAACGAATTTCAAGTACCAAAATTCAAATAATCGCAAAATGTTCCTAAAATCATTAAAATATCAAAAAGTTTGGGATAACTTGGATCGTATATGTACTACAGCAAATTTTAAGCAACTCCATTGAAAATATGGTTTAAATCTTTATCACCCTTATGGGCAATTTAAAAATTTTATATTCAGTGCCATTCCTTAAAATACATTTGCCATTAAAAGAATGCATTAAATTCGCTTCTCTCGCATGGTAGTTTGTTTCTTAATTTAAAGCATACTTCTAGGCGTGTTTTAAATCTAAAACCACAATAATGGAAACACTTGTAAGTAAACTGGTAATATAAAATCTATTCTCTACATAGCGCATGGAAATTCCCAACTTCTTTGAATTCCCGCCTTCCAATATAAACATTTATAGAATTCAATATCGAACTTTCAATTTCTATAACTCCCACTATTGATTTTTACCTCCTAGTTCTTCTTAAAATGAAATTAAAAGTTATGAACATATATATATATTTTTTAATTTATTGACTTTCAACCTAGAAATAGTTGAAATAGCTTCCGTTCAAAGTTAGTTTCATTTTTTTTTTATTTTTGATTTTGCCATAACTGTCAAACAATCGTTATTTTTCATGGCGCGAAACTCAGCGCATATCTAGAATGGCATCTAGGCATGCAATTCATAGCGGCTAAATGAACGAAGCAACTATACCTTGATATTTTTTGCTGATAGTAAATAGTAAATATGTCAATAGTGGGGAATTTTGCAATTTTACATATTAAATATTATATAGTAAATATTATTCACAATAAAGAAATTAGTGAAATTTGCTAAAAAATAATTCGATTTGGGTTTTTACTTAAAAAAATTTAAAAAAATAAATAAATAAAAAAAATAATTTTTAAATAAATACGATGTACGAATTCGTTTTCGATATACGAATAGGGAACGAAATATAATATTTGATCTAAGAGTAACTAATAGGTGCAGATTAAATACATGTGGAGTACTAAATTTTTGACTAAAACGCATCTATATGAGATACAGACATTTGACTATATTCTTCAACGAAATCAGCGTTAACGTATTAGTCAGAAGTGCGTCTTTCCTGTATTTGTGAATTCTCCAAAAAGTCACTGGAATGGACATTTTCGTATTTTGTCTACAAAAGTTGGCAAACTATTCACACATTGAATATTTTTGGATGGCCATCCTAAACTGCTTGGCTTTTGCAATGTCCGGTAACCCACATTCAAATGTGCGTGAGGATCGGGCGATAATTACGACCTGCCGACAATTTTGCAGTTTTTTGGTCCATTTCAACCCCTAATCATCTCCAAAAAGAGTAGGCTTCTATTCTGACCCACATCTTATCCCCATGCAAAATTTCGTAAGGATCGGGCCATAAATGAGATCTGTATATGATATCCTGATATCCTAACTACTTTGTTTTGTTAGCTGTAGAAATATTACCAAATGTTTAATTCAAAATGAAAATATGCCAAAAATATGACAAAATTGATTTTACAAATTTAGAGAGATATTTTTATGCGATTTTTGTAGTCGTTTTTTCTTTCCTGCCAAGAGGCCATTCTGAATTAATGAGAACTGTCGAAATCAGTTCAGCCGTTCTCGACATATAAGAGATCTTTCAAGCATATCTTCCTTGATAGACATATATATCGCACATATTTTGCTATAAATCCGATTTGTTGGATAATAACATCAATTTAAAGGTCAGAAGTAACCTTGTGATGGCTTTGTGATTTCGCCGGGATTTAAAATATTCACGGTTTAATGAAAAAAATTGATTTTTTTCAACTCAAAAGATATGGTCTATTTTACCCGCTAAATATTATCCGATGACCACCCAAATTAGTAGGCTTCTTTCCCGCCCTAAACACTATCTACATGCGAAATGCGTCGATTGGACTATAATTGCGATCTGTATTTCAACCCCTAAACATTTGGCGATCATCTCCAAAAGCAATAGGGTTCTATTCTGGTCCAAGCCCCACCTACATTCTAAATTTCGTGAAGATCGGGCCATAATTGCGACCTGTAGAGTGATTACAAATTAACATGGACAGACGGACAGACGGACGGACGGACATACATAGCTAGATCGACTCAGTTCGGCGAGCTAGGAAGATCCGTATATACTTTCCTATGTGGGAAACCAATATTTCGAGGTGTTACATAATTTTTGGCCCAATCAAACTTATAATACCCCCAACACATAGTGTTGTAGAGTATAAAAATTATGTTGGTTGAAGAAGTAGTAATATTGAAAATTAAAATTTTGGAAAGAAATATTGGTGTGTAGAGTTAAGATCCTTGTATCAATGTTGCAATTTCGTACTAAAAGCGCGCGAAAAGTATCAAATTGATATTGGCTGAGCAAAAAATCATAGCCCTAATTTCAAGAATTCCTTTGCGAGGTTACTACCGTTTGAGAGACGCCAAAAAGCAGGTGATTTTCAAAAGTAGAACTATGAGTGTAGAAGCCAAGCTTGGTACACTTGGTAGTAAATTATAAAAAAGGGATAGGTTTTATAAAATATTTTATTTAATTAGAAGGTGAGGTGTACCTAAAGGAACTAAATACGGTACCATTTGTAATAGGAGAATTTATGGAACTTATCAAAATATTCTTCGAAATTATTTGTCATAAAATTCTACTATAGTCAAACGCTATAGTTTTTACCTTTTTTAATTTTACTGAAAAATGTGCCAAAATAGCATCAAATTTTAGAATAAGTTTAGGTTTGTACGATTTGGTCACCTTTGACACGAATTATGGCCTTCAAACGGCCAATGAAACCGTCACACGAATTTTCTGTGCCAACCTTGCTTTCCAAAATACTACAGACACAATAGTCTAACGGATTGGTATCCGGAGATTTTGGTGACCATTGTGCGCTGGAAATGAAGCGAGGAACCTCATTTTGTAACCATTCTTGGGTGGCGCGTGCTTAGTGCGATGGTGCTGAGTCCTGTTGAAATGTCCAAGGTCTGCTGCCAAAATGTTTGCGTGCCCAAGGCTTTAATAAACCCTCCAGAATATTTTCGCGACAACATTCGGCATTTAATCTGATGCCACGGTCGATTAATACGAGCTGTAAATCTCAGAATAATAGTTTTTATAAAAAATATGTCATGATCACCCACAATAAATAAAATTAGAGGATTAGAGATTAAAAGCTGGACCTATATTGAACATTTTCGTACATAGCGTTTCTAAGTAATGCGAACTCCAAATGTCAACATATGGCGAAATTAAATTGGAAACATGTCCAAAACTTAAAAAATACTTGAAGTCGATTTTGGAATTACCTCCTATTTAATAATTACCTTATTTGGGGCTTTGGAAGACGTTTCCTTAACTTAAGTTTTCAAATATTCCCCTACAATTTAGGCAAATACCAGTATTCCTAGTGGGTTGTTCGAGGCTTTTAAGTACGGTAGATAAACCAGACTTCATTTTAATTTTTTTTTTTGTTAATTTGAAAAGTTTTTGAATCAAACAAATGCAATTAAACTTCTAATAACCTCAACTTTAGGGTAAAGGAAACATTAGAAGAAATGTGGCAAAAACCATTAAAATGCCGAATATAGGGAGGTACCGTTATATGGGGGCTATACCAAATCGTGGAACTTCACATGCAATGTTTCGCAAAGGAGCTAGAACCCATTATGACCTACAAAAACCAATTTTTAGACAAATCCCTGAAAAAATATAGCAAAAATCATAAAATTACCGAATATTGGGAGGTATCTTTATATGGGGGCTATACCAAAACGTGGACCTATAATCACAATGACTCGCCACACGAACTGGGACCCATATGATCTACAACTACCAATTTTCAGAGAAATTGATGAAAAAATGTGTCAAAAATCACCAAAATACCGAATATTGGGAGGTACTGCTAAATGGGACTATATCAAAACGTGGACCTCTACACACAGTGTTTCGCCATACGAACTAGGATCCATTATGACCCACAAATACTAATTTTTAGACAAATCAGTGAAAAACTGTAGCAAAAACCATCAAAATACCGAATATCGGGAGGTACCTTTATATGGGGGCTATACCAAACCATGGACCCATACATACAATGTTTCGCCACCGGAGCTGGAACTCATTATGACCAACAAATACCAATTTTTAGACAAATCCGTTAAAAATGTGACAAAAAATAATTAAAATACCGAATATCAGGAGGTACCTTTATATGGGGGCTATACGAAAACGTGGACCTATACATGCAATGTTTTGCCACACGTACAGGGACCCGTTATGACCTACAAATACCAATTTTCAGACAAATCCGTAAATAAAATGTGGCATAAATCATCAAAATACCGAATCGGGAGGTACCGTTATATTGGGACTATACCAGAACGTGAACCGATATATCTCATTTTCAATACCAACCATCCTAGGCACAATACAAATTGCTCTGCTAAATTTTGGCGCTCTACGTGAAATAATGTGGGCTGTATCGTGATTTCAACAGACAGACAGACAGACGGACATCGCTAAATCGACATAGAATTTTATGCTGATTATGAATATATATACTTTATGGGGTCTACGACGAATATTTAACGATGTTACAAACGGAATGTTAAGTTAATACACCCTCCTTTCCAAGGTGGATGGTATAATAATCAGAAAATTAAAATCAGCCACGACTCGGTATGTACCAAAGTCCCATCATTATCCTTGATACAAGAGTAGTTAATACGCTTTAAATTTTAGGCAATTCAACTGGTAGAATCGATTGTAGCTAAGATTGATTGATCAGAACTCGTACTGTAGTCAGTAGTTAGTGCATGATCATTTTAGAGATTATCGTAGATTTGTTGCATTTTAGCTAAAATTGGCCATAAAATTCAAAAACAAAAACAACTCCTTTCCAAAAAAAATCTTCCCACTTTTTCCTAGGAAACTGAAGCAGAGGCGGCGGCAGACGACGGCGAAAATGATAACGACGATGAAAAAGAAAATGATGAAGAAGGCGAAGAAGATGAAGAAAATGAACCAAATGACGAGGAGGACAACGAAAATGACGTGGAAAACGACGAAGATAATAATGAAACCGACAAAGATAATGAAAACGAAGCGGAAAAAGATGACGACAACGAAGAGGAAAATGCCGAGGCAGAGCCTGAGGATGATGGTGGTGCCGATGGCACTGAGTCACCCACCTCATCAATGGCCATTGAAGGTTTTGTCGAGGGAGTTGCCGATGATAATACAGTTCAGTCCCATAAAGCTGCTTATGTTGAAGATGATAATGATGAAGTATAACTTTTCGAAAACAAACTCCTATTGTTGTCCTGTTTGTTTATTTTTATTCCTCTCAGCAAACAAACAATTCTGATGCTGTTACAATATTTGATATTTTCATTTCTTATGAGTTTTAACAAAACAATCCATGCGTAGTGTCTTGTCATAGCTGAACACATACACACACACTTGTCTGTCACATCTCTGAACTGTCAGTCGATTAGTCAATTTGTGCACTTTTCGAAACTTTGCCACCTTGAAATTAATTTCTTCAGGGACATTTGACACTCACCACCACGACCACCACCACCACGAAGATACACCTACTATTCCAGAAGCTTTCTTCATTCCCAATTGATTCTTTTTCTCTTTAATTTTTTACTTTCTATTAGGTTATCTTATTTTCGAGCACCTCTTAGAGCACTGTGCACCCCTTTTTTAATTTTTGTCCTTTGAGATTTCTTTTTCCTGTAGCTGTTCTTTTTTTTCGTTTCAATTTTGTGTGTTTTGATAACAAAATTCTATTTAATTTGATACTTAACGCCATCATATTTTATCATCACCGAACCCTACTCCTTCATTCCCCTATAAAAAAAAAAAAAACAAAAATAAAAAAACCAAACAAATTCGAAACCCCCAAAAGGAGTCACGTATCAATAGAATCATAGCTTCTGGAGATATGGAACAATTGGCCCAAATCGTATTGAATGGGGATGGTCAGAAGCTATTGAATGTCAAAGCCAAAGAACCGGAAATTCAGGCGTTCCTAAGGAATGTACCAAATTATATGGTGAGTCATTCATATATTGGGCGCCACATTTGATAAAATAAAGCATTGCCAATATAGTAGCATACATATTGAAAAATTATTAAACATTTATATCGCTTTCAGGATAAAATTCGTCGGGTCCACGAAGCTGCCCGTGGCGGTAGTTTATTGAATTTGCAACAGGCGCTAGATCGACGAAAGTTTGCCATAGCCAAAGATGAAATATCACCGAATGGAGCAACGCCATTACATGTAGCTGTGCTATTTGGCCATAGTGGTAAGTTCGATAGGTTTTTCAAATGAACAAATTATCGTCATCTATTTTCCAATTGTATCTTTCAGATATTGTTCGATATTTGTCTGCTCGATTCCCTGAAACCACCTCTGTAACAGATAATGATGGTCGAACCGCCCTACATTATGCAGCAGTTATAAGCGATAATGGACATTTTTATAATGTACTCCAGCAGTTGGGAGCAAATCCAAAAGCTATGGACAATGTAAGTCAAGTGCATCAAACTGTAGAATTTAGAACAGTGCTAGGAAAGGCAGGAACGTATGTTCTCAGAAAACCAAGTTCTCTACACACACACGCACACACTTTAAATCACTAAAAAAATGTAATCGGAGGGAAGCGAATTCGGGAGATCATAACATTTGGGAGATCAGTGTGAGGTAGAGTCATAGACAAATAAAAGCATACACTGAAAAGTTTTAATGTTTTCCCACCCGGCAGATTCACTTAGGCCTAATCAAGTCACGTATAGAACTGGAAATCATTGCACAATTAACCCACATCCAATTTTTTTGTCCAAAGCTATTTCAACGTCACCATATGTAAGCCCTAGAAAACAACAGTAACCCTAATATCAATTTTCTGAATTTCAGCTCTTCCTCTTCATCAAATACGAAAATTTTTAACAATTAGTACGCATTTCCAATACAAACTAGATATCTGTATTCTAGAACTCAACAGTGATTCGAAATTAGTACAATTTTATACTTTTGGAACAATTTTGGAACACAAGATACCAACAGAGACCTTAATATCACATTTCAGGATTCCAGTTCTGTGAATTCATTTAATTTGGTAATTTTCGTATATATATAGGACGTATTTCCAAAACCACCTTCATATATTAAGCAAAGATACCAAAAGTTACATCTATATCAAATTTCACGGTACTACAGCCTATAACAGAAAATTATCTGTTATAGGTACGTTTTGGTATAGTCCTCATATAGTGGTACCTCCCTATATTCGGTATTTTGATTATTTTAAGCGGCATTATTCAACGAATTCTTATGTCAAAAGTTGCCTATGCAGGTCCACGTCGTCGTATAGACCGTAATATAACGGCTACATTCGGTATCTTTAAAATTTTAACAGAAATTTTAACGGGTTTTATTTATTTATTTGAAAATTCCCAAATTCGTTACAAATGCTGGAGGTTATTCAAAGTTCGGTCCGCTTTTTTTACTTTTTATATTGGAACAAGATAATGCTAGTATTTTGAAATTACTGTGGGTATATTGCTCTGGGAAACATATATGGAGATAAAATTTTAAATTCGTACACTAAATGTACGATAAGTCCTAAAAGGTACCCAACTTGATAACGTTAATAATTGGTGATAGGAAAATTTTAGAATATGATATTAAATGAATGTGTGAATGTATTGAGAACCGGTTTTGAAAATGTATTTATATTAAACTGTAAAATTTGATATGAGGAACACTAATGTATAAAAAAAAACATAAAAAAGCTCTCAGATTTTAGCCCCAGAAAAAAATTTAGTAATATTTAGTACTTTTCCTAAAATTGTTCACCATAATTGTACAAATACTTGTACTATTTTTAAATATAATATCGAATTTTGGGATTCCAGCCTTATCCCTTCACCCAATTCCAAATTTAGTACCATAAAGTACTTTTCATACAAAACTAGGATGCATCAGATATGAACATTTATCAAAATATCAAATTTCAGAAAAGTATCTCTATCCCTTCACCCAATACAAAATATAGTACCATTCAATACTTTTCGTAAAATTGTGAAACTACCTCCATATGTGCAGGTTACACATAAAAATAGATCTTAATACCATATTTCAGATTTAAAGGACTGTAAACCGTTTTTGGATTTTCAATCTAAAAAATTACAAAATGTGCTAATTATTGTACCATTCGTATTTGGTGAGTGAATTGATGTTGAAATCTGAATTTTTTGAAGAGGTTTTCAGCATCGCATTAAAATTGCACGAAAAGTGTAAAAGGGTACTGATTTTTTCAGCAGTAGGAGCTAAAACAAGTAAAAACAATTAAAAAAGAAGTAAGTTCGGCCGGGCCGAACTTTGAATACCCTCCAACATTAGGAACGAATTACAAAATTTTTAAAAAATAAAATCCACTAACAATTCTTTTAAAATTTTTGAAATACCTAATATAGGAAGTTGCCGATATATAAATACATACATACATATACATATTGTGGACCTATATAGAAAAATCTATGTCTGGGGGTAAAGTACTCACAAAGAATTCTTTATGTAAAATTTCTGAAAATTCCGTTGAAAAATGGTGCTAAAATCATCAAAATACCGATTATTGGGGGATACTGTTATATGGGGGGATATACGATATCATGGACCTATATAGACAACTTTCGTTTAGTGGATAAAGTAACCACAAAGAACTCCTCATGTAGACATTCAGACAATTGCGTTGGGAAATGTGGCAAAAATTATCAAAATACCGAATACCGGGGGTAACGATATATAGGGGCTATACGATATCGTTAAGCTATATAGAAAATTCTCTGTCAGGGGGTAAAGAGCTCACAAAAAACCCCTTGTGTAAAATTTTAGACAATTCCGTTGAAATTGTGGCTAAAATCGTCAAAATGCCGAATATCGGGGGGTACCGTTATGTGGGGGCTATACAATATCGTGGACCTATAAAGACGACTCTCTTTTAGGGGATAAAGTACTCACACAGAACTACTTGTGCGAATTTTCAAACAATTCCATTGAAAAATATGGCAGAAATCACAAAAAAAATCTATTTCGGGGGAAAAGTACTCACAAAGAACTCCTTGTGTTGAATTTTAGACAAATCCATTGAAAAATGTGGCTAATATCGTTAAAATACCGGATATCGGGGACGTATAAAGACAGTTCTCTGTCAGGGTATAAAGTACTCATAAAGGCAATTCCATTGAAAAGTCTGGTTAAAATCATCAAAATACCGAATATCCTACACATCCGACCTACACATGCAATGTTTCGCCACCAAAACTAGAACCCATTATGACCAACATATACCAAGTTTTAGACAAATCCGTGAATTAAATTGCCAAAAATCATGAAAATATCGAATATCGGGAGTTACCGTTATATGGGGCTAAAAATACCAATTTTTAGACAAATCCATTATAAAGTGTTGAAAAAATCATCAAAATACCGGATATATAGAGGTACCGTTACATGGGAACTATTCCAAAACGTGGACCGATATATCTCATTTAATAAACAATGAAAATTGTTCTGCTAAATATTGACGCTCTACGTCAAATAATGTGGGCTGTAGCGCGATTTCAACAGACAGACAAATGGAAGGAAATGGTTAAATCGACTTAGAATTGTATGCTGATTATGAATATATATATATATATATATATATATATATATATATATATATATATATATTATGGGGTCTAATACGAATATTAAGCGATCTTACGAACGGCATGACAAAGTTAATATACCCTCCTTTCCAAGGTGGAGGGTATGAAAATATAGATATTCAGAAAATATATACATACATGAGAAGGTGTGAACAAAATGTTAAAGGCCCTAATGACAATTCCTGGGAATTGACATCTGGTCATGTAATCTAGGCTATTTTGTTTCACAAAGAAATAAAAATTGAATAATCAATAATGAAGTGAAATAAAACAAGATTTCACATTTAACATCAACCTTTGTTAAATAATGAATATTCTTCCTTTCAGTTTGACAAGACCCCCGAACAATATTTGGCCGATAATGATATGAAGGACACATTTAATTATGGCCTACTATTGAAAAATTTCGGTGCCGAAGAATTGGAAGAACAACTTTTGAGTGATCAAGGTAAGTGGGAAATTATTTGGTCTACCTTGGGATTTCATGTTGGTTGGGGTTAATTTTGAATTTGGGTTTTTTTTTTTTAGAGATAATTACATAAAGTTTTCATTTTCAATGTGTGCTTGCATGTGTATGTGTGTGTATTGGCATCATGTATATGTGTTGTTTTATTTTTTCCCCCTTTTTCTAATTTTAATTGACCAACAATGGGGTGTCATCGCAAATATGTGTTCTTTTAAAATGCTTTTTCATTTGTATTTCTTTTACATTTTTTGTTTGTTTATTCAATTGCTTTTTATTGTCACTGTTTTTGTTAAGTGAGGAATGAAAATAATTGCTATTTTTTTTTGGCATGACAAATTTTATGATTTTTATTTTATTTTTTTTTCTCTTTAATTTAAAAAGAGGTTGCTTTCAGGATTTATTTCTTCAAAATGCTTTTCTTATTGAGCCATGAAATTTAGGGATTCGTAGTTTTATATAAGAGTCCACTTTAAGACTTTCCGATGTTTACCTTCAACAAAAATAATCGACAATACGATCTCTCGATTTTGTCCAATAAGAAAGAATTGGTTTTCAATTTTTAATTTTCAACAAGTAAAAAAGCAGTAAGTTCGGCCGGGCCGAACTTTGAATACCCTCCACCATTTGGAACGAATTAGAAAATTTTCAAAAAAAAAAAAAAAAAAAAAATAAAATCCATTAAAAATTCTTTTAAAATCTTTAAAAAATCTAATATAGGAAGGTGCCGATATGGGGGGATATACGATATTGTGGACCTATAAAGCAAATCTATGTCTGCCTGTAAAGTACTCACAACGAACTCCTTGTGTATCGTTATATGGGAGCTATACGTTATCGTTAACCTATATAGAGAATTCTCTGTCGGGGGGTAAAGTGCTCATAAAGAACCCCTTGTGTACAAAGAACCCCTTGTGACCATTCAGTTGAAAAATATGGCTAAAAACATCAGAATACCGAATATCGGGGGTACCGCTATATGAGGGCTATTCGATATCGTGGACCTATATAGATCTCTGCCGAGGTATAAAGTACCCACATCATCAAAATACCGAATATCGGGGGGTACCGTTATATGGGGTATCGTATATCCCCCATATAACGGTACCCCCCGATATTCGGTGGACCCGTATAGACAATTCTCTCTCAGGGGGTAAAGTACTCACAAGGAATTACTTGTGGGGATTTTAAAACAATTCCATTGAAAAGTGTGGCTAACATCATCAAAATACCGAATATCGGGGGTACCGTTATATGGGGGCTATACGATATCGTGGACCGATATAGCCCATCTTCGGACTTGACCTGCCTGCAGACAAAAGACAGATCTATGCAAAATTTTAGCTTCCAATCTTAATTCGTTTAGACTGTAGCGTGATTACAACAGACGGACAGACGGACGGACAGGGCTAAATCGTCTTAGAATTTTACGCTGATCAAGAATATATATACTTTGTTGGGTCTAAAATGATTATTTCGATGAGTTACAAACGGAATGACGAACTTAATATACCCTCCATACTTTTTTGGTGGAGGGTATAAAAAACGATTCAAAATTCATAATTTTTGATGTGTGTAAAATATGAAATGATCGGGTTTTGAATTTTTTTATGCGTTATAATTAGAAGAAACAAAAACAAAAGATGTATTAATCATTGCATAGTTTTTGGCTCGTATGACCTGTGGAATGTAGCAGTATGTAGAGTCGATATTTCGATATTTGTCTTTAAAAATAGCCTATCTGGCGATAATGTTCAATTATTCGATTTTTTCGATTTGAACCTTTCAAACCAAAAGAGTTTAGAGTTTAACATCGAAGTTATTGAATTAATTAGCAATAATTACAGAAAAAAACAAAAACCAGTTAAACGTTGCATACTTTTTGGCTCGTATGAAAATGAAGAGGGCTGAAATCGATTCGAACAAAGCCATACATTATAATTATAGGTGGCCAAGAACGTTTCTCTTTTGATGAAGAAATTTTCTCAAAAATCTTTTCTCTTCAGAATATTTCTATAAGGTCTTCTCTCTATAAAAGGCATGAAAACGAAATTTGCTAGAAGACCTTTGAATGGTTTATCTCCATAGGCGATCTCTAAAATCGTTGCTTTGTAGGAAACTTCTGGAGGCATTTTATCTATGGAAGACCCTTGATTGGTTTAAACATATAAGAGAATCGTTAACGGTTTATCTCTTTTCAAAGGTCTTCTATACGGTATTTTTTAGAAGGCCTCTGAGATGTTTTGTATCTATAGAAGGCCTTTCAGATATCTTCTATCTATGGTAGTTCTCTCAGAGGTTACATTGAATATCACTGAGAGGTCTTCTATCTTTAGAAGGTCTCTGAGAGATCATACATCCATAGAAGTCCTCTGGAGGTATTTTATCCAAATAAAAAGGCCTCTGAGTGCTCATTTATCTAAAGAAGGCTTCTAAGATATAAAGACTCCTTCTGGTACCTCTAGTATCTATAGAAGGCCTTTCAGATGTCGTCTATTTATGGTAGTTCTCTCAGTTCAATATGGTATACATATTGAATGTAACTAAGAGGTCTTATATCTTGAAGACATCTGGGAGGTATTATATTTATATACGGACGCTGAGAGGTCTTCTATCTTTAGAAGGTCTCTGAGAGATCTTATATCAATAGAAGTCCTCTGGGAGGTATTTTATCCAAATAAGAAGGCCTCTTAGTGCTCATTTATCTAAAGAAGGTTTCTAAGATATAAAGAAAGCCTACGAGACGTATTCTATCCAAAGAAGGCCATTGAGAGGTTTTCTCCATATAGATGGGACCTTGATAAGGCTTCTGAGTGGCATTTTATCTATTACAGACCTCGGATAGGTCTTTATTAAAAAATATATCTCTGAGAGATCATATATTCTTAAAAGGTCTTTGATGGGTAATCTATCTAAAGAAGGCCACTGTGATGTCTTAAATCTATAGAAGGACATTGAGATGACTGCTACCCATATACGATACCTGTAGAAGGCATCTGAGAATTCCGCTTTTAATATTTTCAGTCATATGGCTAACAAGGCTATATATACATATATCATTTGCTACGGCCAAAAAGTGCCCAGGGCTCTTTGGACCAAATCCGTTTTAAAATATTTGGAGGCGATCTAGGGATCTAGGAATGTCCGTCCTTCCGTCTGCCTGTCTGGCTGGTGCGCCCGATAACTCTCGAAGAGAGTATCTAATTTGTTCCAAACTTGGTACATCGAAATACGATTGTGAAACTTAGATCGAGTTTGGATGTGCGCAGTATCGGTTCATTCTTTTTGGTACCTCCCCCTCAAAACTCGAAATGTTTGAAGAAACTATTTTACTGCACAAAAAAGAAAGGATCATCCGATTTTGCACCAACTTTACTTATCCTAATATTTGCATCAGTGCTAAGACAGGTGCAAATATGGTCCACTCCGTTAAGTGCCTCCCTTACATAGGTTCAACAGTTTTAAATCTTTTAAAACTTGACACAATAGTACGATTGTATTCAAATTCACACATCACAATATTTTCATTGACACAAGATCTGGTGTAAAGATGAGATATATTGGTCCGCTCCTTCTGGTACCTCCCCCAGAAAAGGTCAAAATTGTAATATCCATGATTCCATTCAAACTCGGAACATATAAATATTTCTACACAACACAAGATCTAGTATGACAATGGAAGAGATCGGACCATTCCTTCTGATTGTGAATAACCAAAACGCATTTTAGACGACCTCTAGAAGGCCTCTTTTTCTATAGAAGATTTCAAGAAGGTCTCCTGCCTATAGAGCTCCAACATTGACAGAACTAACTTTTGAATGTACTTACCTTTCTTTTATTTTAAAGACAAAAATTCTGTCGTCCCAATACCACAACATTCCCTTCCATATTTCAGGGTCATTGATTTACGTACATCTACGAATCACACCCCAAATTATTTCCTCTATTTCCTTACGTTCGAATATGAATTCCCCAATAAATTAAATATTCAATTAAAATTTTAAATAAATTAGGGTCTATTTATTAGCTGTTATCATATTTCTGGAAGTTTCTTTATTGTGTGCGTGATTTTGTTGTCTTCACCTTTTCCTGTTACCAATCTCGTTCATAAGTTTGTGTTCTCTAGCGGCATTTAGTTCGGTTGTTTGTTCTGCGCTTTACATTATAAATAATGTTTGATTGGTAGCCACCTTTTGCAGACAATGTCACCTCCCCTTATGGGGGGTTCAACCTTAAACTTGTGTGACCAACATGGGTCATGGATACCAAAAAGGCTACATGGGGTTGGGGGTAGCAGGTGTTGGAAGGATGACATTGGTGCACGGATCGATGTCAATTGTCGTTGTCGAATGACAGACAGGTCATGAATTACATTTTTAAAATCCATGCAGTTAGTCGTTGTTTTAAAGTTTTGTCCATCGGTTGTGTCAATCACAAATTGTCCCACGTATAAGTTGCAAAAGAAAATTAAACGTTTTCCGTTTGTACAATACAGCCGAACATTGTTTCAAATCGTGTTGTGTTATTGTTATCGATTTTTTTCATCTGCAATTATATGGCTCTAAAGACAGATAGAATTCGTTTTATGTAGGCAATAGTTGAATTGTAAATTTAAATTGCTTAGAATAAAACATTTTTATTTATGAATTTGTTTCGAAAACAACATGGATAATCGTCAATTCTTTAATCACATTATAAGGAATATTGACGATGTTTTCGGTAAGTGGAAGGAAGTGAAAATCAAAAATGCCCTGCATAAAACAATTGGAATTACTTTTTACAGCAGTGTAATTTAGAACTCATTTAATTTAACCATTGCGTTTGGACTTCATGAACGTTATAGGAATTAAAATAATTCTCTAGTCACGTGATATGCAGCAAATCGAAGTAAAAGTTGTACGGAATTATTTTCATTGCTTTAGCTGCATTGTTTTGAAGCTAAAAAATTTAAAAGTGAATCATATAAAACCGATGAATGGAAAACCCCAAAAAATAAAGGTTTCGTCCTATTTGTGAAGGACTTTTAAATAAAGCATATTTTTTTTTAATTATATAAACCTGAAAGTATCGAAATTATATCGCCCTGACACGGTAAAACTCAGAAGTGTAGAGAAGGACAGACGTTTCTGACTACGATGTTGCATATATATACAGGATAATATAAAACAAGTTAAAAAGCACTAAGTTCGGCCAGGCCGAACTTTAAATGCCCTCCACTATTTGGAACGAATTTGGAAATTTTCAAAAGATAAAATCCTTAAAAAATTCTGTTTACATTTTAAAACAAGTAAGCAAAGGCTACAGTCGAGCGGAGCCGACCGTTGAATACCCTACAACACTATAATAAATGATACAGTTTATATAGGCGAGATACTCGAAAGAATTCCACAAGATATTGTGACAAATAATAAAAGAAAACCATCAGGTTTCGTTCTCTAATTTTCGAATAATAGCAACTTTAACTAATTTGCTCATTTCTAATTTATTGGAAGATGTTGCACGTAAACGGTCTTCCTAGATCTGGAACCAATATTTCCCAAAGACCTATAATCTCTCAGAAGTGCCAAAAGATTAACATTTATTATTGGCTTTTGACTGAAACGCATCTATATGAGATACAGACATTTGACTATATTCTTCCACGAAATCAGCGTTAACGAAATAGTCAGAAGTGCGTCTTTCCTGTATTTGTGAATTCTCCAAAAAGTCTCTGGAATAGACATTTTCGTATTTTGTCTACAAAAGTTGGCAAACTATTTCACACATTGAATATTTTTGGATGGCCATCCAAAACTCCTTGGCTTTTGCAATGTCCGGTAATCCCCTTTCAAAAGTGCGTGAGGATCGGGCGACCTGCGACCTTACGACCTGCCGACAATTTTGCAGTTTTTTTGGTCCATTTCAACCCTAAATATATGGCGATCATCTCCAAAAAGAGTAGGCTTCTATTCTGACCCTCATCTTATCCCCATGCAAAATTTCGTAAGGATCGGGCCATAAATGCGATCTGTATATGATATCCTGATATCCTAACTACTTAGTTTTCTTAGCTGTAGAAATATTACCAAATGTTTAATTCAAAATGAAAATATGCCAAAAATATGACAAAATTGAAAAAATATGAGAAAATTTTACAAAATCAATATTTTCATCTTTAGAGAGATATTTTGATGCGATTTTTTTAGACGTTTTCTCTTTCCTGCCAAGAGGCCATTCTGAATTAATGAGAACTGTCGAAATCAGTTCAGCCGTTCTCGACATATAAGAGATTTTTCAAGCATATCTTCTTTGATAAACATATATATCGCACATATTTTGCTATATATCTGATTTCTTGGATGTTAATATCAATGTAAAGATCAGACGTAACCTTGTCATGGCTTTGTGATTTCACCGGGAATTAAAATAATCGCGGTTTAATGAAAAATTTTGAATTTTTTCAATACAAAAGATATGGTCTATTTAACCCGCTAAATATTATCCGATGACCACCCAAATTGGTAGGCTTCTTCCCCGCCCTAAACTCTAGCTACGTGCGAAATTCCGCGTCGATTGGTCTATAATTGCGACCTGTACAGCTACTGCAAAATCCGAATTTTTTTCAGTATTTGGTCCATTTCAACCCCTAAACATTTGGCGATCATCTCAAAAAGAAATAGGGTTCTATTCTGGCCCGACCCCGACCTCCATTCCAAATTTCGTGAAGATCGGGCCATAATTGCGACCTGTAGAGTGATTACAAATTAACATGGACAGACGGACAGACGGACAGACGGACGGACGGACATACATAGCTAGATCGACTCAGCTCGGCGAGCTAGGATGATCCATATATACTTTCCTATGTGGGAAACCAATATTTCGAGGTGTTACATAATTTTTGGGCCAATCAAACTTATAATACCCTCAACACATAGTGTTGTAGGGTATAAATACTGAATATAGCCGTTTTATTGGAGTCTATACGACTTGGATCTACATAGGCATTGTTTGTCATAAGCCATTACCATATTCAAATCCGAAAACTTAAAATAAACGGTGAATAATATCGTATATAGGGATGTATCGGTGCTGTGCGAAGACCTGGACCAGCATAGACAATTTTCTGTCATAGGCTGTAGTATCCATTAGGATGTTCAAATACGACATCTCAAACAATTTCGGTGGGTATTATACCTAAACTCGTCACAATACCGAATATAGGGAGGTACTGATATATGGGACCTGGACCTGTATAGACAATTTTCTGTCACAGACTGTAGATCCTATTACGAATTCTAAATACGTATTTCGAAACAATTCCGGTGAACAATGACGATAAAATCATCAAATTACCGAATATTGGGAGGTACCGTTATATGGGGGCTATACGACGACGCACAGTGTCACGACCGCGGCCAAAAATGGTAAAAACCAAGTACATAAGAGCACAAATTTATTGATGAGAATTGATAGAAAACATTCCAGTTAGGAATAATATGAATTTTGGTAGTGATACGTCAAGTAGTTTTGCCTGTACGAGGGTTCAAATCTGATAGTTTTTGGCAATCGGCATTTTTCTTTTTTTTTTCGGAAAATTGACACTTTTTTCATATGTTCAAAAATTTGAATATTAAAAGTAACGGTTATAAAAAAAGTGTTTATTTTAGTTACTTGGGATGTCAAAAACTTGGCTTCACCTTTGTTTGGGTGTAAATAGTGATCATATGGTGTTTACAGTTACAAACACCTGTTGTACTTAGTTCATCTATTTTGTAAAGCAAATCTTGAAATTAGTGGAGTAGAAAAAAAGGTTAAAAAAGTTTAGTCTACATTTTTGTTGATTTTAGTTGTGAAAAGTATGTATTTTTAACCTATAAAAAAATTAGCTGCGGAAACCTGCGGTCCTAAGAGTTATTTGCTTTTTTTAGTGACCACCTCTTTAAAAAACTGTGACATATTTTTGGAATGGTTAGAAGTAAAGGATCAAAGTATGTCATATGTTCTGGCAAAACTTAAAGAATTTATTGAGGATCGAATTGGAAGGAAAATGACGGGCGAAGAACACATAAAGGTTAAAAATATTTGCTACAAATTGTCTTCTACGTGGAAAAAATACTATCGAAAGAGGGATAAAGTAGAAATGGTCTTAAAAGATTGGTTTCTTATGGATACGTTTAAATTTGATTCGGTACATTTGAAGATTATTTTTATTAAACCAATTATTTAAAAACTTTTAAATATTTAGGAACCTGATAAGTCTACATCAAGAGGTCGACCACGCATTAACTTTGAGGAAAGTTCATGTAGAACAAAAAGGCGACGTGTATTTGAACTTGTTGCATCTACTGTTGTTGCCCCATTGTATGGGAGGTATACCAAATCATGGTCCGATCAATTCAATTTTTTGTCACTTGTTTTATAGCCCAAATTAGAAGTAAACTGCAGATTTTCGTTGAATTTGGGTTAATACATTCGTTTTTATATCCCAAAAGAGAGAATTTTTCAAGACCCATTGTATGGGAGGTATACCAAATCATGGTCCGATCAATCCAATTTTGTCAACTGTTTTATAGGCCCAATTAGAAGTTACATGCCAATTTTCATCAAATTTGGTTGAATATTAACGATTTTATAGGCTAAAAGAGTGAAATTTGGAAGACCCTATATATGGGAGGTATACCGAATTTTGGTCCAATCTATCCAAATTTTTGTAATTTGCTTTTTAGCCCAATAATAAGCATCTGTACAAAATTTCATCCACCTACGACAACTCTTTCTATTTTTGGCCGCCGTTTGTATGAACTCGCGACATAGTGCGACGTGGACCTGAATAGACAATTTTCTGTCATAGGCTGTAGTATCCATTTCGAACTTCAAATACCAAATTTGAAACAATTCCGGTGATTAATGTCGCTAAAATAATCAAAATGCCGAATATAGGGAGGTACCGTTATATGGGGGCTATATGAAGACGTGGACCTACATGGCCCATTTACGAAATTAACCTGCCAACTGGAAAAATAAACGTGTGTGCAAAATTTTAGCCTTCTAACTCAATTCGTTCGTATATTCAAAATACCGAATATAAGGAGGTATCGTTGTATGGTGGCTATACGAAGACCTGTATCTACATAGCCAATTTTCTGTCATAGACTGTTGTACCCATAAGAATATTCAAACACGAAATTTTAAACTATTCCGGTGAATAATTCAGTTAAAGTCATCAAAATACCAACATGGGGAGGTACCGTTATTTGAGGGCTATACGAAGACGTGGACCTGCACAGACAATTTTCTAGCATAGGCTGTAATATCCATTAAGACTTTCAAATACCAAATTTGAAACAATTCCGGTGAATAATGTCGTTAATATAATCAAAATACCGAATATGGGGAGGTACCGTTTTATAAGGGCTATACGAAGACGTGAACCTGCACAAACAATTTTCTAGCATAGGCTGTAATATCCATTAGGACTTTCAAATACCAAATTTGAAACAATTCCGGTGAATAATGTAGTTAAAATCATCAAAACACGGAATATCGGGAGGTGCGGTTAATGGGGGGTTATGCGAAGGCGTGGACCTGCACAGGCAACTGTTTGTTATAGGCTGTAATATTTATTAAAAACTTCAAATACCAAATTTGAAACAATTCCGGTGAATAATGTCGTTAAAATCATCAAAACACCGAATATCGGGAGGTGCGGTTAATGGGGGGTTATGCGAAGGCGTGGACCTGCACAGACAACTTTTTGTTATAGACTGTAATATTTATTAAAGACTTCAAATACCAAATTTGAAACAATTCCGGAGAATAATGTCGTTAAAATCATCAAAACACCGAATATCGGGAGGTGTGGTTAATGGGGGGTTATGCGAAGGCGTGGATCTGCACGGGCAATTTTCTGTCATAATACCAAATTTGAAACAATTCCGGTGAATAATGTAGCTTAAATTACCAAAATTCAGAAGGAGGGAGGTTATTTGGTGGCTATACCAAAACGTGGACCTACATTTTCAATACCAAAAGTCCTGCAGACATAATATACATTTGAGAACAATTTTATAAACCTATTTCATTTCGTTCGGAAGCTAGAGTAATTTCCAAAAATATATATACTTTGTAGGGTCTAAAATGTATATTTCGAGGTGTTACGGACGGAATGGCAAACCATATTATGGTGGTATAAAAAATTAGCTGAAAAGTTTTTTTTTTTTTTTTTTGTTTTGGTATTGATCTACCTAATTTTCAAGCTTAAATGAAAATTTCATTTTGGTACGTATCGTATCGTAACATCTCGATCCATTTGATATTTACATTTTTTGAAGATTATGATTGACGTAATAAGCACTTAGAATAGTATTCGCCTGTGTACAGAGAGTACAAATATTTTGTCGATGCGATTTTTTAAGTTTTAATTAATCAATTAAAGTAAAAGGTCTTTTAAATTCAATCTTTTGATTTTAATTTTCATTTATTGTTGTTGTTATATTATCACCTTTTTAATTTTCTGTGTAAATGTGATGAAGATGTTTATAATCAATATAATTTTGTTTTTCATTCAACTGTAAATAAGTATTTCAAATAATTTCTCTAAATTATTTTTTTGGGATTCTAAATATTCAATATGATTTTATTTCAAAACGTTTTTCATTATAGGCCAGCAATAAGTGTTCAATTTTAATGTTGTTCGTTCGTTCTTCAGTTTTTGATTTCTGTAAATAATAATAAAAAAAACATATATATTTGTTATGATGTGTGATGACAATAGATGGCGTTGTGTGTGTTAAGCTAACTCAACAAAATAATTAAAAGAAAAAAACGAAAAACATGAATCCTTATTCTGCACTTCTCTGCATTCTCCTCTTCTTTTGTCTTCTTTTCACTACAACTCCAATATTTCTATCACCTGTAACGTGTACATCCAAAAACCAATAAACGATAAACCCGTATTATTTATGGTCCTCACCTCACCCCCTGCAGTACCAGATGATTTGCACAGCTCGAGGCGTTTGTTAAACGATGGTGATATTCAACGCACACTGGATCGTTGCTTCAGCGTGATACAGGAATCGAGTAAGGTATGGAGTGGTGCCACCGCCTCCGCCTTGGCCCAGAAGAAACCATTGTCGGACAATAATTCCCTACAGCTGGCCGTAACGGGATATTTGAGTCGTTTCCTGAAACCCTCGGTGTATGAGAAAATAAAGAAGCGTCAAACACGTTTGGATCACAATCTCTTCGATGTCCTGTGGCCGGCATTGCGAAAGACATCGAAGGAGCGCCATCTGGAGGAAGACATAAATTGTGGCGTAATTGCGCCCGACTTTGATGTCTATGTGGTGTTCCAGGAGTTTATGGTCCCCTTGATTAAGGATATGCATTGCATGTCTGTAACGGCCGATTTTAAGCCACATCCTCGCATTGCCTATTTCCCAATGCAAAATGCCGAGCGCCTTAACACCGCTTATTTTGTGTTTGAAGATGATTCAAATTTGGTGGTTCGTTGTCAGGTGGAATGTTCCCGAAATTTAGATACCTTTGAGTTACCGCTCAACTTGACCATTGGACAAATTGAACAAGCCGAACGTTTGATGATGGCCAAAATATTTAGCTCAGCCTTTATAGAGGCCATAGATGAGGAGGAACCGGGTAGTTACTATACTTTAACAGAGATCCTAGAAGAAAACTCTGAGGTCCATGAAATGCTCAGTAGCTATAATCTTCTCATACCTTTGCTTGACCAAAAAGATGCGGTACAACAGGCTGAGTCCATAGCCTTTAATGGTCCCCTGTGGCCATATGGTCGTGGAGTGTATGTCAGTGCCTCCAATAACATGGCCTTGTGGTTGAATTGCCAGGAGCATTTGCGCATCATTTCCAGCACCTCGTCCAAGGATGCTGCTGACATCGGGTCAGTTTATACACGAATTGGACGTTGTATTTCATTCCTCGAGCAACAGTTACATTTCAAAGAAAGCTATCTGCTGGGCTATCTACAATCTCGACCATCCTTCCTCGGCACTGGCCTGAAGATGACAACAATTATACGTTTGCCAAATCTCATGAAAGAAATGGACAACTTACGCCATCTGTGCTCGGTGCGGGGTTTGGCCCTTACCACCAATCGCCAATCGAAACTGAGCGTACGCCTGATAAATATGCAGTCCATGGGCTCCGTGGAACACATACTCTTCCAGGACTATTGTACGGCTGTCACGAACATTCTGTCGCTGGAGAAGGATATGTCACTGACCAATTCCAAACACATTGCCTCAATGTTGGTGAAAATATTTCGTCGTAAGAAAAATAGTTTAGCTGAACGCCACTAGATGCCAAATGATTCGATGTGATTGATGACCACTTCCCCCCAATTCCCAAAAAAAAAACGCTTAAAGACCTCCCCACCACCTCTGAAGCCAAATTAAGAGACGTGTAAATACAATACAAAAAAAGCAAACCAAAAAGTCATTTATTCATCACTTAACGAAACTGTATTATACAAAGTAATGAAAAAAAGAAAAATCAATTGTCCTCTATTATCTCCCTGCTTTTTGTTCCTGATTTTATTTCGTTGTCAGAAAGCAAAGCCAAAAAATAAAACACAAAAAACCTGCAAACTCATTACGGATTCGTAAGTTTCATTTTACATTTTCCTTACATTACTTGTATTTGATGTCCTCTTTTTTCGGTTCATGTCTTGTCTAAAAGAATTTTCTCTTGAGTTGCTTTAACATGCATTTATACATCTGTAGATTATTTTTAATTTCTTTTGTCCTTCTATCATAGTTTTTTTTTTTTTTTTTTTTTTTTTTTTTGGGAAAAGCACTTTAAATTTATTTATTTACGTTTAAAATACAAATCCCGGAAAGCATTTTTTTTTGTGTAAGATATTTGAGACTTAAACCAACCCTGCCTTCTTACAGAGGGTACATACATCTTGGAATGGCTTTTTAAGATCCCCTGTTCCCTTATAAGGATTCGTCCGTCTAGCTGATTAAAGTGAACAATTATTTTCGTTAAATCGCTAATTATACCCTCAGCCATACGGCCAAAACCTGTCTCATCGAAATTACGATTTTAGAAGCAGGTATCATTGATCCAAATCCATTTCAGGACATTTGGTTCCGATCTAGCGATGTCCGTCCTCTTAAAGGGGTCCAAACTTGGTACATCCTAATATTATTATCAAAATTAGGTCTAGTTCGGAGATGGGAAATATCGGCCCATTACTTCTAGTACCTTCCCAACAAGAGGTCGAAATTTAAAAATTAATAAATTACTGCACAGAAAGAGAGAGGATAATCGGATTTTACTCCAACTTTGGAAATCCTAATATTTGCAACAGTACTAGGTTAGGTGTGAAAATGAACAATATCAGTCCACTCCACCATATACCTGTGGTGCAGCGTCAACATTTTGAATAATTATAACTCTTATAAAATATGAATTAAGCGTCGGATTGTCTTCAAACTATACACATCGCTATATTTTTATTAAGCAAAGGTCTGGTGTGAAGATTGAATATATCGGTCTCCTCCTTCTGGTACCTCCCCACATAGAGTCAAGATTTTGAATAATCGTGAAGCTCATAAACTTAACATCCGATTAGATTCAGAATAGGTATATTATATATTTTTATCAGCACAAGATCTGGTAGAGCTTGGACCATTCTTTCTAGTATCTTACCCGTAAGGTATCAAAGTCTTGAATAACCAAAACGATTATAAAATCCGAAAGAGGCTTTCAGTTCTCGTCATATTTCATATTTCACACAATTTTTATTAACCCTTGGTCTGGTGTAAAGATGGCATATACAGGGTGACATAAAAAACCGCAACAAAGTCAAACGACATAATTTTTAATTCTTTTTAATTAAAACAGAAATGTCGGAAATAACATCAAATTTCAAAATAAGTTTAGATTTGTTCAAATGGCCAATGAAACCGTCACACGCAGACTGAATGTTGCTCTGCGGTATTTTGGCGGCGAAGCACTTGCTTGAGGTGATCGATACTTTGGTATTTTTTAGTGTCAACCTCGCTTTCCAAAATGCAGAAACAATAGTGCAACAGATTGGTATCCGGAGATTTTGGGAGCCAATCGAGGAACCTCATTTTGTTATCATTCTTGGGTGGCGGGTGCTGAGTGCGATGGTGCTGAGTCCTGTTGGAAAGCCCAAGGTCTGCGGCCAAAATGTTTGCGTGCATAAAGCTTTATTACACCCTCCAGAATATTTTCGCGATAATATTTGGCATTTATTCTGATGCCACGGTCGATTAGTACGAGCGGAAAGCGATCATCGGCTGTTATGGCGGCCCACACCATCACCATGGCCGGCGCTTGAGTTCTGGTGGCCAAGCGAAGGTGCACATTTTCAGCTGACCTTTTTGGCAAGTAAACACCATCATATTGTTTGCTTATAAACTGTTGGACAACGAATTTTTTCTCATGGGAGAAAGCCAAATTCGGCAGTTCACCACTTTTGGTGAAGCGAAGCAACTCTTTAGCTCTTTTGAGTCTAATTTCTTTCTGTTGCGGTGTAAGTTCTTGCACTTTTTGGAATTTCAATGTCTTTATCCCGAGCTCATTTTTCAATATTTGCCTAATGGAATATTGCGATATGTTCAGCTCACTAGATATTTTTCGGCCACTGCGACGCGGGTTTCGATCAAATCGCTGGAGAATTCTCACCTGGAGAATTCTCACCAAAATGCTTTTGTACGCTTGTAAACAAACGAGTGGCTTAGAAATGACAGCAATCTGAAGTTGATTGCAGTTTTTTCATCTCTCCCTGTATAGTTCCATTCCTTCTGATACGTCCTCCACAAAGGGTCAAAATTTTGATTATCCATAAAACTCATAAAAGTCGAAATTAACATCAGATTCCATTTTGACTTTGTTCATCTCAATATTTCCATCAACACAAGATCTATAATAAGATGGTAGAGATCGAACCATTTCTTCAAGATTTTGAAAAACAAACCGGCCAAAGAAAGCGAGATAAGCATCCAACTCCCTTCAAATTTCACACATACAATAATTTTTTCTAATACAAAATCTGTTTTCAAGATGATGTCGCAATATTTATATAATATTTAGTTATGTCCGATACGAAATGGACAAATTTGGTCCATTCATTCGGTTGACCATGTGATACTCTACAACACAACAATATGATAGAAGCCCCCTTGTGTCCAAATCCATTTTAGAAGATTTCGCTTTTGTAATTATGTTATGGAACAGTGCCCAGATATTACCCTTAGCAGGGACATTTGTCCAATATTTACGAACTCCGTTGTGCTGTTAGTTGTTGTGGTCCATTCTACAGCTAAATCATCCAAACTGCTACACTTCGTCCCTGTCCTGTACTCTCTCTTTCCTTTTTTTGGGTCATTTGAATCCCTAAATGTTTTGCAATCATCTCCAAAAGCAAGTTTCTCCAAATTTAGACTCATCTATATGATTTGCTTGTCTACGATATTTGGCTATATTCGTCAACGAAAAGCATACAAAAGCCAGAAATTCGCCTTTTGTGTATTTCGGATTTTGTCTGTAAGTTATTTTCAGAGTTTCGGTGGATTTGGAAATGTTGGCATTTTCACACAAAAGTAGTGGTCCATTCTACTCGCTGCCTTAAACTCTAACTTCATTCGAGCGTTCGTGTCCTTTGGTTCTATTTGTGACCTTTATAAAGGCTGCAAAACCAGGAACATTTTTAGTTGTTGGTTCGTTTCAACCCCTAAATATATTGCGGACATCTTTGAAAATAATAGGCCTAGCCCTTCTGAGCCTAACCCTACCCTTGTGAAAAAAGAATGTTTTTTTTAAGGTTTTTTCACAAATTTGACCTTTTGTGTGTTTTTTTTTATCCATTTGTAAAAAAATATAAAGTAAAAATGCCGGCCGAACTTTGACCACCAAATGGAAGATATTTACAAATTTCAAAAAAAAAAAATCCGTCGAAAAATACTGTTTAAATCATATAATTCCGAATATGGGGAATTACCTTTATATTGGGCACTATACGAAGGCATGGACCTGTATAGGCAAATTTTGTCATAGACCATAACGATACTCAAATACGAAACTTAAAACAGTTCCGTGTACCTATTTCGAACTTCAAATACGAAATTTGAAACAAAAAACATAATATCGGGAGGTATCGTTAAATGGGGGCCATACGAAGACCTGGAACTGCATAAGCAATGTTCTGTTCTTTTTCAAAAACAAAATTCCTGCAGATCAATCTACTCCATTTCGTTCGGAAGTAAGAGTGATTTCCACAGACGACCAGACCGACGGACATTGCTAAATCGACAAAGAATTTTATGCTGATCGTGGTCTAACATTTCCATTTCGAGGTGTTAGAAATGGAATGACAAACTTAATATACCCTCCATACTATGGTGGAGGGTATAAATTTGACAAGATGATGAGGAGATTTATAAAAAAACGAGCATAAAGAGACTATTAAAGACAAGCTGGTAGGGATTCTTCCACAAACGAGCTGATATGAGTGTGAGCCAAATTAGCTAGAGATGATATCAACGGGATAAACTGAAAATTAAGTCTATTTTGGATGAGATGAAGAGCAAGTCCATTCGAGTTTATGAAGATCTATTATGGACGAGGCAGCAGAGTAGCCTTTTATATACGAGGTGATGGAAACTTATCTATAGATCAGCTCTTATTGTGTTCATTATAGCCAGACCAGCCGATGAGGCAGTCTGATAAGGTCATATAGGATACAAACTTTTTTTTAACCGTTTCGGTTTGATTATCGATTATCTATCAGCTGGATAATAACCCGGTTGTTGTAGAAGAGTCGAAAACATATAGCTGATTAATGCTTTGCGTTTTACAACAGTGGACTGCTGGCGAGCGGGATGATTGTAGTCCGCTTATCTTTAAAGTACTTGGCTAATAGACTTTAGATTGTCAACTTATTCATGATAATAGGGTTGTAATAGTTGGAATTTTCCTCACCCTTTGATGATATTGGAGTCCATGGGGTCAAGCCTAATATAGTACTTACTTTTATGATTACTTTTCGAGTGTGGAGGAAATGCATGGAAGAATCTTACACTCAAAAGTTCTGTAAGCAATTGTGGAGCGCTATCTTAATTTTATTTCAGAACTTTACTTCTGAATATTTTTACCCTATACCACACTGTGGCAAAGACATAGAAGCATTAAGATATGGCAAGACTGAGTCAAAATATGGCAACCATGTGAAAATGCCCATGTTGGCAATATGCAAATTTTTAAAAAGGTCTACGGAATAGAATTTTGAAACCACATATTTGAATTTTTCAAACTTTTATTTCAATATTATATTTCCGTTATTGGGTTTTTATACCCTACAACACTATGTATTGGGGGTATTATAAGTTTGATTGGGCCAGAATTTATGTAACACCACGAAATATTGGTTTCCCATATGAGAGAGTATATGGATCTTCCTAGCTTGCCGAGCTGAGTCGATCTAGCTATGTATGTCCGTCCGTCCGTCTGTCCATGTTAATTTGTAATCACTCTACAGGTCACAATTATGGCCCGATCCTTACGAAGTTTTGCACGAAGGTGGGGTTAGGGTCAGAATAGCAGCCTATTTGATCGCCAAATGTTTAGAGGTTGAAATGGACCAAATACGGAAAAAATGTCGGATTTTGCAGTAGCTATACAGGTCGCAATTATAGACCAATCGAATTTCGCATGTACCTAGAGTTTAGGGCGGGGAAGAAGCCTACCAATTTGGGTGGTCATCGGATAACATTTAGCGGGTAAAATAGACCATATCTTTTGTGTTGAAAAATTCAAAATTTTTCATTAAACCGCGAATATTTTAAATCCCGGCGAAATCACAAAGCCATGACAAGGTTACTTCTGATCTTTTCACTGATGTTAACATCCAACAAAACGGATATATAGCAAAATATGTGCGATATATATGTTTATCAAAGAAGATATGCTTGAAAAATCTCTTATATGTCGAGAACGGCTGAACTAATTTTGAAAGTTCTCATTAGTTTAGAATGGCATCTTGGCAGGAAAGAAAATGCGTCTAAAAAAATCTCTTAAAAATATCTCTCTAAAGATGAAAATATTGATTTTGTAAAATTTTCTCATATTTTTTTTAATTTTGTCATATTTTTGGCATATTTTCATTTTGAATTAAACATTTGGTAATATTTCTACAGCTAACAAAACTAAGTAGTTAGGATATCAGAATATCATATACAGATCGCATTTATGGCCTGATCCATACGAAATTTTGCATGGGGATAAGATGAGGGTCAGAATAGAAGCCTACTCTTTTTGGAGATGATCGCCATATATTTAGGGTAGGAGTGCAAAATTGTCAAGAGGTCGTAATTATCGCCCGATCCTCACGAACATTTCAATCCGGGTTACCGGACATTGCAAAAGCCAAGCAGTTTTGGATGGCCATCCAAAAATATTCAATGTGTGAATAGTTTGCCAACTTTTGTAGACAAAATACGAAAATGTCCATTCCAGGAATTTTTGGAGAATTCACAAATACAGGAAAGACGCACTTCTGACTATTTCGTTAACGCTGATTTCGTTGAAGAATATAGTCAAATGTCTATATCTCATATAGATGCGTTTCAGTCAAAAACCAATAATAAATGTTAATATTTTGCCACTTCTGAGAGATTATAGGTATTTAGGAAATATTGGTTCCAGATCTAGGAAGACCATTTACATGAAACATCTACCAATAAATTGAAAATGAGCAAATTAGTTAAAGTGCTATTTTTCGAAAATTAGAGAACGAAACCTGATGGTTTTCTTTTATAATTTGTCACAATATCTTGTGGAATTCTTTCGAGTATCTCGCCTATATAAACTGTATCGTTTGTTATAGTGTTGTAGGGTATTCAACGGTCGCCCCGCTCGACTGTAGCCTTTGCTTACTTGTTCATATTAACATCCCTCTGTCATGAGCGGTTGCTCGACGTATTGTAGACACAAATTTACATTACAGCTCAGAAATACTTTGCTAGTTTTTTTCGAGATCGGTTCAGGTTTGGGTATAGTTCCCATATATATATTTACTTGATTCCTAATTTATTGTGCTCCAAATAGTTAAAATAAGCCCGAATTGAATGTATTTCGGCATATGCAAACGAATTTAGCCTGGAAGAAACTATATCAAATTTGGTGAAAATAGCTTAAGATATAGCCATAGGTCCTATATATATAAATATTCATCCGATTTTTTATTTTACTCCCTCACATCCGTAAAATATTCTCCATGACATCAAAATTTGGTGCCAATTATCAGATACAGCATAGAACTGCTTTTGCTAAATTTTGTACAGATCAGTTCAGATTTCGATAAATCTTCTGTATTTATCTTCATCCGATTTCACATTTATTGGACCTAAAAAGTATAATATCAGCTCAAATAGGATGGTTTTTGATATGTATCGGTTCAGACACAAACTCCCCCATCAAATTTAGTGGAATGCGATAGAAGCCTATCATATTTTGGTTGGTATGCTACAGTTTACAGTTGGTATGTTTTAATTCTCATAAATTCGCCATCAAAACGTGCAAAGTGGTGCATGGTATCATAAAGTAGGTCCATCCCGACTTTGGCCTTTCTTTACTGGTTTTAACATATGATTGAGGAATTAAATTGTAAATATACCCTGATCATATGGTGCAGGACAAACAAATTACGTTTCACGAAATATTTTGTTTTTGTAGGATTTGCAGCTTTTTATTGCTTTTTTAGATGCAGTAATTTGTAGTGTTGTAAATTAAAAAAAATATATTAAATGTTACTAATTTTTTTATGGATTTTTTTTCTTATTTTAGGTAAAATAGAAAATCAGAGTTTTGAAGAAAATCCCATATTCAAAACAGAACAAGGCAAATATTTAGCTGAAAGTAAGTACAAATAATAATTTCTAATATATATAATTTTTTTTTAATACAGGGTGAGATAAAAAAATTGCAAGAAATTCAAACGGCATAATTTTTACATTTAAATTTTATTGAATTAAAGCAAAAAAAAAAAATCGGAAATATCATCAAATTTAGAATAAGTTGAGATTTCTTCGAATTGGTCACCTGTGGCACGAATTACGGCCTTCATACGGCCAATGAAACCGTCACACGCTGCCCGAATGTTACTCTGCGGTATTTTGGCCCATTCCCGGAGAAGCGCTTGCTTGAGGTGATCGACACTTTGGTATTTTTTAGTGCCAATTTTCCTTTCGAAAATACTCCAGACACAATAGTCCAACGGATTGGTATCTGGAGATTTTGGTGGCCATTGTGCGCTGGAAATGAGCGAGGAACCTCATTTCGTAACCATTTTTGGGTGGCGCGTGCTGAGTGCGATGGTACTGAGTCCTGTTAGAATGTAAAAGGTCTGCGGCCAAAATGTTTGCCTGCCTAAGGCTTTAATACACAGAATATTTTCGCGATAATATTCGGCATTTATTCTGATACCACAGTCGATTACTACGAGCAGATATCGATAATCGGCTGTATTGGCCGCCCACACCATCACCGTGTCCGGCGCTTGAGTTCTTGTGGCCAACCGAAGGTGAAAATTTTCAGCTCACCTATTTGGCAAGTAAACACGATCATTTTGTTGGTTTACAAACTGCTGCATAACGAATGTTTTCTCATCGAGAAAACCAAATTCGGCAGTTCACCACTTTCGGCTAAGCGAAGCAACTTTTTAGCTCTTTTGAGTCTATTTTCTTTCTGTTGCGGTGTAAGTACTTGTACTTCTTGGAATTTCAATAGCCTTTCTCCGAGATCATTTTTCAATATTTGCCGAATGAAATATTGCGATATGTTCAGCTCACGAGCCATTTTTCGGCCACTGCGACGCGGGTTTCGATCAAGTCGCTTCTTTACTTTTCAAACCATTTCTGCAGATGTTGGTGTTTTCTTCCGTTCACTTCCTTGACGTCTGGCTACGCTACCAGTATCACAGTAACGTGCGATGGAACGAGACACAAAAGATTTATTCAGATTTAAATTCTGGAGTGCTCTAACGATAGCCACTTGTGGTTTTCCAGCCAAATATAAAGAAATCACACTATCACGCTTGAATTCCATCACGAATAACTTTTTTTCTGGAAAATTCTCACCAAAATACACTTTTACACAATACTTTAATAATTTTAACAGCTGTCGGACGAGTGGCTTAGAAATGACAGCAGTCTGAAGTTAATTGAAGTTTTTTCATCTCACCCTGTAGTTTTCAACAAGGGTGGTTAAGATAGTTCTCTGGCCTGAATAGTATTCGGTAACGGTGTCATGGAATAGTTAAGATTAAGAATGTGGAATTAAAAAAACAAAAATATCATATTCTTGTCCCTCCCAGAGAACTATGTTTTCTTGCTCCAATCAACGAAACTGCCCAAAATTTTATAATTCCCCAATATTTCTTTTGCAGATCTAGCCGATCCCCTTATCAAAGCTTTAACACAAGTTGCACAAAAACGCCCACAAGATCCCCTGCAATATTTAACGAATTATCTGCAAACATTTGTGGCACAGCGTAACACAAATGGACGAACAGTAGTACGAGCTGCCGTCCATTCGGGCAGTAGTCACACAGACTCCACGGCACTGGCGGCCAATTCGCAAACAGACTCACTTGAAGAGAAGCCAATTGTACCAACTTCACGTATGAATGGACATGTGACACGCGACAAGGGTGAAGATATCGAAACGGATCCTGCTCAACAACAAATCTACGATGAGGATGCCGATGAAGCGGAGGCTGCACTGTCCAAGCGCTTAGAGGAACGCGATGAACATGGTCAGAGTATGCTGCATTTTGCAAGTGCACGATCACATCGTCGCGGTGGTCTACTGCAGTTGATCGAAGAATCGAAAGTGGATATAACATATCGTGATGAGTTATATCGCACGGCCCGTGATGTTGCCCTGCAGGCGAATCAGGTGGTCAATGCCAAGGATATTGATCGTTATTTGATATCGCTGGCGATTGTTGGTAGGAAGCCGTATGAGATTTTCGAATTTGAATATATTTCCATTTATTGTGTCTTTGTATAGGTGATGTCAAACCCTTTGAGTACTTTGCCATTGCCGGCTATGATCATATCATTGATTTAATGGAAGATGACAAATCAATTATCGAGGTTGCCGAATCGAAAGGTCATACAGAGTTGGCAACCTATTTGCGTACCATACGTCCTATGGAGGTAATTTAATTTGGAATTTTACTACTCTCTATGATAGGCAATGAGAATATTTGTATTAAATTTAAATTTTTTTAGGAATTACGCGAAGAACTTCATCAAATGATTCGTGACCATAAAGCGGATCGAGTTAAGGAAATTGTTGCTGGGCCAGAAGCCAAATGGTTGTTAATGGCCAGAAATTATTATGGTAAACATATCTATATAATTGGCTCAATGTTGTTGTTTCAACTGATTTTATTGGTGTTTTCTTTGCCATTCTGCTATTAACTCCAAGTTCATAATGAGGTTGATGTTGGTCGAGTAGATTTCGTTCAGTGGTTGAAGGGTTGCAAACTGTTATGTGGGGCAGATCTACAAAATAACAAGTAGAAACACATTAAGGTCGGCCGAACTTTTAATCCTCTTCACCTTGGGTAAAGGAAACACTTTTACATAGAAGTATCTGAATTTAAGCGTGTTCTACTTTAAACGTCATATGCCAGTAAGACTGTTTGGAAAATGCAGTTAAACTTATCAAAAAAAAAGTGGGTGAGGCCACTATATGGGGGCCATACCAAAACGGAAACCTCTATAGACAATTTTCTGCTTCAAGGATTCTCATCTATCAAATTCGTGGGTATGTGACTAGGATTATCAAAATACCGAATATCGGTGGGTACGTTACATATAGGAAAACGTGAAACTAAATATACAATATTCTGCCTCCGGGCTAGAACGCATTGCAAACTTAAAATACCAATTTTTACACAAATCCGTGAAAAAATATGTCAAAAATCATCAAAATTCTGAATGTCGGGAGGTTCCGTTAAATGGGGACTATACCAAAACGTGGACCAACATATCTCATTTTCAATACCAACCATCCTAAACACGTTCTGCACTGTAGGCTGTATCGTGATTTCAACAGACAGACGGACATCGTTATCAACTATCAATCGGGTTTCCTTTTAAAAATCTTATTCCGGTGTGAAAAGTCCTGAAGATAGAACTTTAAAAGTACTTGAGATATCACACTAACTTAGGAAAAAGTGTGGGTATCTGCAATTTTTTGTTATTTCTGGCATCAAACTTCAAATGTGTCCGGAAAATAGTTTTTTTTAGAGATTCTAGAAAAGCACTATTTTGTTGGAGAATTGTCTTTGATAAATTAATCACAACTATTAATGTTCTGGCATCATTCTAAATGATGCCCAATGCTGTGTTGAGCTATATTACATTTGGAATCCAAGCAATTCATTAAGCGTTTTAGGTATTAAGTTGCTAAAGTTGACCGGGTTGCCGCTGCTGAAACTCTGCATTGCTTCGGTAGAAATAATCCAGTCTTTGAAAATATTGGGACTATTCCATATAACCCAAACTTAGTACATCGTGATATTATTATAGTCAAACTTAAAGATAAAGTTCGGAGATGGGCAATATCGGCCCACTCCTTCTGGTACCTCTTCCACTAAATGTTAAAATTTTCATAGGAAATTATTTGCCTCATAGAACCTAAAAGAAACATATATTTTTATTCTAATTATGCAAATCCTAATACAGGGTTGCCCATATTCGACGGACCTTTGGGCCCATTCCAATTGACAAGGCTTGTCCGCAGGCAACAATCTTTGCGTCAATTGAACTTTGTACGGGAACAAATGCAAATCAATGAGAATAATCCGTTATAAAGTGGACCGAGCCATGCCCAACTGCTGAGAACGGCGTTTTTGGGCAGCGATATTCTCGGCCGATCGCCTTGGTCGACTTTTATGTGGCCTCTTCGGATAAAAAAAGCCTTACCAGTCGAAAATTTTTCGTATAAACGCTTAATGGTGTTCTTAGAAGGCACACTTCTCACATTTTTTTTTCACAATTGACTTCTTCTGTTGAATGTAAATTTCAACTATCTCAGAGCGCTCGCGTGGCGTGTATTGGTTCATGGTGAAAATCTGCTTGGACTGACACTTCAAACGCGGTATGTCATTAAGCGATGTGACATCTCTGTCAGAAGATATGGCGTTGCCAGATGGGTCCGTTGAATATGGGCAACCCTGTATGTTTTATCAGTGCTAGGTTGTGTGCTAAAATGGGCAACATCGGTCCACTCCATCAAGTACCTCACCCACGACGGGTCTACATTTTAAAAAACCATGGCGCTCATAAAAAGCGAAATTACCATCTGATTCTTTTGAAACGTTTTATTTTCTAATATTTCCATCAATACCAACACAAGATCTGGTATGAAGTTAAAATATATTGGACCACTATCTCCGGCACCTTCCCCACAACGGGTCAAATTTTTTAATTATTATACCACCTTGAAAAGACGAAACAATCTTCTAATTCTTTTTAAACTTCGTAGATTTCGTCTTTGGGACAGTTTTTCAATTCCAAATACTGAAAGTTCTTTATTGATATTTATCCACTCTGCTTAAGGCCAATTTCCAATTTTATCTTTTTTTCGAGACAAAATCTAACAAACTGAATGTCAAGCAATATATATTTCATTTTTTGAAGCGCCACGAACAACGTCAATTTTTTTATTTTTTCCTGTCAGAAAGGAAACAATTTTCAGTGTTTGGTTACCAAACCAAAAACCAATTCCGAACTTTTAGACTTTTTAATTTTAACAAGTAAAAACGCAGCTAAATTCGGCCGGGCCGAACTTTTTATACCTCCCACCATTTGGAAGAAACCTGAAAAATTAAAAAAAAAATCCGACGGAAAATACCGATCAAATAGAAACTGTTATATGGGGGCTATACGAAGACGTGGTCCGGCATAAGTAATTTGTATCATTGGCTTAGTAACTGTTCCGAACTTTATATACGAAATTTGAAACAATTCCGGTGATTAACGTAGCAAAAATCATCAAACTACCGAATATCGGAACGAACCGTCATATACAGAATATATGATATCGTGGACTTATATAGACAATTATTTTCCAGGGGGTAATGTTCAATTTCATTGAAAAAATTAGCTGAAATTATCAAAATACCGAATCATGGGGTTAAGTACTCACAAAGAAGTCATTGTGTAGAATATCAGACATTTCCATTGAAAAATTTGGCTTGATATACGATATCGTGGACCCAAATAGAAAATTCACTTTTATGGGGTAAAGTACTCACAGAAGAACTCCTTGTGTAAAATTTCAGACAAATACATTGAAAAATGTGGCCAAAATCATCAAAATACCGAATATCGGGGTGTAACGTTCCATGGGGGCTATACAATATCGTGGACCGATATAACACATCTTTGAACTTGACCTGCCTGCAGACAAAATACAGATCTGTGCAAAATTTCAGTTTCCTATTTTAATTTATTTTGACTGTAGCTTCATAAGAACAGACGGACGAAAGGACAGGGCTAAATCGTCTTACAATTTTACGCTGATCAAGAAAATATATACTTTGTTGGATCTAAAATTATTATTTCGATGAGATATAAACGGAATGACGAACTTTATATACCCTCCATACTATGTATGGTGGAGAATGTAAAAATCGGTTAATTGAAAGCCGACCAAAGTCGACATTTCGTAAATTGTTGCATACCTTTTAGCTGTGTAGAAATTAAAGTCGATCAACAATCAATGAATGTATACCGAAAATAATATTTTCGATAACAAAAATCAGGAGTATCAAAGCTTTGATTTCTGTGTAATCATGACCATGATATTTTCCGACCATAAATTTTACTTTCTCGGAGATCATGGAATATGGAGTGTGTCATTCTCAGAAACTACGTTAAGAGAGAGGGAGGGTTAGCTTGGAAACAACTGTAGCGTATTTCAGGCGGAAATCTTTGCGGTCAAAAAGATCACAGACCTGCTGGTCACGAGGAGCACTGAGGTCAGCGGTCCGGTGACTATTTATGTCGATAGTCAAGCGGCACTGAAGGCCTTAAATTCCTTTACTATCAAGTCTAGGGCTGTTTTGAACTGAAGGGAATCCTTGGAAAACACTGGGTTGTCCATCAAGCTCTGTTGGGTTCCTGGCCATTATAACATCCCAGGTAACGAGACTGCAGACGAATTGGCCAGGCTAGGATCCGAATCAACTTCAATTGAAGTACACAACTCGGTTAAACCACCACTGTGCCATTTCCTACAGGTCATTCACAGACATTACTCTGAGAAAATCCAACAAAAATGGCTGGACGAAATGGGATGCACCATCTCCAAAAAATCTGGCCCACACTCTCAGAGAAGAGAACAAGATCGCTGATGTCATTGTCAAACCCTGATTTAAAACTTGTGGTGGGTATCATCAAAGGTCATTGTAAGGTGAGGGCTATTACCTCGAAATGGGACAGCGACGACATTGACTACTTTAGGAAGTGTCAAGATGAAGAAGAAATCGAGACAGTCGAACAGTTGCTCTGCCACTGCCCAGCACTCATAAATGTGAGATACAGACTAGTGGGAGAACTAGTGTCACATGATCTGTCCTCTTTTTCTAATCCTTCGATTAGCCAGAAGATTCAAGTGACTAAAGACCACACGGCAAACTCCTCAGCCGTAGATCACACTCTTAAACTCTATTTCTTATATTCATCTCTTCTACAACCACTTTTTCTCTCTTTTCCTAACATTCTTCTAGGATGAACACAATGGTCTCCTAGTGAAGCGGTTGCCATATGGTGACCGCGCGTCCTTTAAAATAACCTAAACTAACGATAAGAACATATGGCTTGAAAGCATGTCACATGAATGTTTGTGAATGGTCTTAATTTTGGCTCGGTTCAAAAGAAACCGGTTTTTCCAAGTTTCATGTTGGTTCAAATCAGCAAAATGTAGCCCTGGTTGAAATGTTGTTCTTACGAGAAATGCCGGTTGCTTTATACGAATAATCATCATTCACAATTTAACTAAACTACTTTATGTATTTTAAATGAATTATTTACATTTAATTCTATATGACAGGAAGGACAGCGCTGCATATAGCCATATTAAAAGAAGACGAGGAGCTGGTGGAACATTTTGTTAAAATATGTCCGGAGGCCTTGAAAATCGGTGATAATGTAAGATTTATATAATTGGATTTTCTTCATTTTGCCAATTCAATGAACTTATTTCAAATTTTCACTTACAGCTGGAACGGTCTCCTCTGCACTATGCCATGGGCACAAATCTGGTCGAAGGCATCAGTCGGATACTCATACAAAACGGGGCCAAGCGAACGAATAAGGACTTGAAGGGACGACAACCAAGCTATTATTTTATGAATAAGGCAGACATTCTGCGATTACAAGAGGAGGAAGATGAAAACCGCTAATGTGGATCAATATTCACACACACACACACACACACACACATTCACCAGCTCACCCAAACACATGTCACCTAATTTAAAGTAAAGATTGTCTTATAAACACCTTGTATTGTTGCCTAATTTTAACTTTTAAATTTATCGACAATTTTAATTTCCCCTCCAAAAAAAAAAAAAAAAAAAAAAAAACTGAAGTATTATTTTGTAAGAAAATCAAACAACGTGTAGTGTCAAATGTTTAAATTTTAAGTAACCAAAAAAAAAAAAAATATTTTAACAAAAAGTGCACTTAAATGAACGTCTATATTGTTTAACAATTGTGGTTTCCTTTACGATTTATTCTGAAATTAAGTGCCTTTTTAGGAAGTAAAAAAACTAAAACATTTTTTGAGCACTTTGGTGTGCCCTGTTAAAAATTAAGTGCCTTAAGAAATCAAACAAAATTAAAATATCTAAAATTGTACAATTTAAAATTTAAACAAAATTCACAACGAATTTATTTATTCATAATTTGGAAGAAAAACAAAAAACTGTTTAATTTAAGTATTTATAAATTATTTAAAAATGATAATATGTTTTATTTATTTGTTGAATAAAGGAAAGGTAAATGGAATGGGAAGTGTTTAATAAGGAGTAATGAATTAACGGCTGAGGGTGCATTATACCAATATTATACTCAGAATATTTACACTGTGCAACACAAACCAGTAAATAAAATCTTAAAGTCGGGCGGGGCCGACTTTATGATACCCTACACCACTTTGTTAATTTAGTAGAGCTCCGCATAACAATTAAAAAATTTTATGGGAGAATTCATTCATACACGCCATGATTATAACAAGTAAGCAAAGGCTACAGTCGAGCGGGGCCGACCGTTGAATACCCAACAACACTATAATAAACCATACAGTTGATATAGGCGAGATACTCGAAAGAATTCCACAAGATTTTGTGACAAATAATAAAAGAAAACCATCAGATTCCGTTCTCTAATTTTCGAATAATAGCACTTTAACTAATTTGCTCATTTCCAATTTATTGGTAGATGTTGCACGTAAATGGTCTTCCTAGATCTGGAACCAATATTTCCCAAAAAAATGAGAAACAGACATTTGACTATATTCTTCAACGAAATCAGCGTTAACGAAATAGTCAGAAGTGCGTCTTTCCTGTATTTGTGAATTCTCCAAAAAGTCACTGGAATGGACATTTTCGTATTTTGTCTACAAAATTTGGCAAACTATTTCACAAATTGAATATTTTTGGATGGCCATCCAAAACTGCTTGGCTTTTGTAATGTCCGGTAATCCCCATTCAAATGTGCGTGAGGATCGGGCGACAATTTTGCAGTTTTTTGGTCCATTTCAATCCCTAAATATATGGCGATCATCTCCAAAAAGAGTAGGCTTCTATTCTGACCCTAATCTTATCTCCATGCAAAATTTCGTAAGGATCGGGCCATAAATGCGATCTGCATATGATATCCTGATATCCTAACTACTTAGTTTTGTTAGCTGTAGAAATATTACCAAATGTTTAATTCAAAATGAAAATATGCCAAAAATATGAGAAAATTGAAAAAATATGAGAAAATTTTACAAAATCAATATTTTCATCTTTAGAGAGATATTTTTATGAGATTTTTTTAGACGCATTTTCTTTCCTGCCAAGATGCCATTCTAAACTAATGAGAACTTTCGAAATTAGTTCAGCCGTTCTCGACATATAAGAGATTTTTCAAGCATATCTTCTTTGATAAACATATATATCGCACATATTTTGCTATATATCCGTTTTGTTGTAAAGATCAGAAGTAACCTTGTCATGGCTTTGTGATTTCGCCGGGATTTAAAATATTCGCGGTTTAATGAAAAATTTTGAATTTTTCAACACAAAAGATATGGTCTATTTTACCCGCTAAATGTTATCCGATGACCACCCAAATTGGTAGGCTTCTTCCCCGCCCTAAACTCTAGATACATGCGAAATTCCGCGTCGATTGGTCTATAATTGCGACCTGTATAGCTACTGCAAAATCCGACATTTTTTCAGTATTTGGTCCATTTGAACCCCTAAACATTTGGCGATCATCTCCAAAAGAAATAGGGTTCTATTCTGACATCAGTCCCACCTCCATTCTAAATTTCGTGAAGATTGGGCCATAATTGCGACCTGTAGAGTGATTACAAATTAACATGGACAGACGGACAGACGGACGGACGGACATACATAGCTAGATCGACTCAGCTCGGCGAGCTAGGAAGATCCATATATACTTTCCTATGTGGGAAACCAATATTTCGAGGTGTTACATAATTTTTGGGCCAATCAAACTTATAATACCCCCAACAACAACACTATGTAGGGTATAATTATAATTTAAAGTTCAAAGGACTAAATATGCCGAAGCAATTGTACCTTTTAAATTTGGACTTGTATGACCCATTTGGTGCACAATTAATTTGAAATCAAATAAAGATATATATGGGAGCTATATCCAAATCGGAACCGATCTCGATAAAATTTGGTAAAGATATATTTCCCTGAATATCGTTGTTATGGAGTGCATATTACGGCTGTGGGTAACAAATACAACAAATCGGATGAACAATATATATGGGAGCTATAGCTATAACTGAACCGATCTTCACCAGATTTGGCATACTAGCTTCTAGACTCAATTCCATCCCATTTGGGCAAATATTAGACGGTTGGTGCACAATAAAAGGTAAATCGGACGAAGTTATATATAGCTATATCCAAGTCTGAATCGATCTCGATAAAATTTAGCAAATGTATATCTGAGCTGTATTTGATTTATTTTCCCACATATTGTTGTTACAGAGTGCATATTACGGTTGCGGAGGACAAAATAACAAATCGGATGAACAATATATATATGGGAGCTAAAGCTATATCTGAACCGATTTCGATCAAATTTGGCATACTTATTTTCAGGCCTAATTTGGATGTATGTGAAAAATTCCATACTATTCGGACTGATATTAGACGTTTGGTGCAAAATAAAAGGCAAATCGGACGAAGATATATATGGGAGCTATATCAAAATTTATACCGATTATTCTTGGGCCAAACAAATAATTTGTGCAAAATTTCATATGGATAGGGCAATAAATGCGAAATGTACTTTGTTTACAAAAAAAAAAAAAAAAAAAAAAAAAAAATGGACGGCCGGACATCCATAAATCGACTCAGAATGTGATTCTATGCAGATCATCAAAGGAACTATGGATCTATCTCGATTGCTTTTGTCTGTTGCAAACAAATACACAAAGACACAATACCCTGACCACCTTGTGGTATAGGGTATAGAAATAATTACGTCGAAAATGCAGTAGATTATGAAAGTCAAAGAAACCTAAACAGAGCTGGCAAGCCACCACCACCACTCCCACACTTTTAGAAATATTCGGATTAAGATTCCTCGAAATCTGAGCATTTTAGGTAAATAGTGTCTTCGGCAATATTACAGGCAAAACTACGAGGAAAAATTTTCGTCGAAAAAATTGACCTTCAAGCTAGTCAACAAACAAGCCTTCTCTTAAGTATGCAAGTTAAAATATTTCACAAAATCATTTGTCATAAAATTCTACTGTAGGTCCTAGAACACGATAGATGTACACTCACAGCATGTGGTCGATTATTTAAATATATTTTGACTTATAATTATTCAAATTGTTGATCCTGGAATGGGTTACGAAGAAATCGGCAATATTGCCCATTTCGTATTGGACCTAAATAAATATGATCTGAATATTGCGACGTGTCAGGTTTGGACTATATTCGTTACTTCCTTCACTTTATATGAGACATGTGATAATTTTTAGAAAATGTTAAATTCTGTCTGATGTACCACGTACTAGTTGCGATAAAAAACTGCAACAAAGTCAAACGCGATAATTTTTACATTTTTTTTTTAAATTTTATTGAATGAAAGCAAAAAAATATCGGAAATAGAATCAAATTTTAGAACAAGTTTATATATGTTCGAATTGGTCACCTTTGGCATGAATTATGGCCTTCAAACGGCCAATGAAAATGTCACACGCTGCCCAAATGTTGCTCTGCGGTATTTTGGCCCATTCCAGGCAAAGCGCTTACTTGAGATGATCGACACTTTGGTATTTTTTAGTGCCAACCTTGCTTTCCAAAATCCCAGTCACAATAGTCAACGGATTGGTATCCGAAGATTTTGCGAGGAACCTCATTTTGTAAACATTCTTGGGTGGCGGGTGCTAAGTACGATGGTGCTGAGTCCTGTTTTAATGTCAAAGGTCTGCTGCCAAAATGTTTGCAAGACCAAGGCTTTAGTACGCCCTCCAGAATATTTTCGCGATAATATTCGGCATTTATTCAGATGCCACGGACTATTAATACCAGCGGAAAGCGACCGTCAGCTGTTATAGCGGTCCACATCATCACCATGGCCGGCGCTTCAGTTCTGGAAGCCAACCCAAGGTGCACATTTTAGCTGACCTCTTTGGCAAGTAAACACGATCATTTTGTTTGTTTACAAACTGCTGGACTACGAATGTTTTCTCATCGGAGAAAACCAAATTCGGCAGTTCACCACTTGCGACCAAGTGAAGCAACTCTTTGGCTCTTTTGAGTCTATTTTCTTTCTGTTGCTGTGTAAGTTCTCGCACTTTTGGAATTTCAATGGCTTTACCAGAAGAACTGGTCTGATCTCTACCATCATTATTCCAGATCTTGGGTTGATAGAAATATTGAGATGTACCGAGTCTGAATGGAATCGGATGTTAATTTCCCATATTATGAGCTTCCACATACTCAAAATGTTCAGCCTTTGTGGAGGAGGTACCTGAATTAGTTGACCGATATATTCCATCTTCACACCAGACCTTGGATTAATACAAATTTTGTGATGTGTGTAATGCTTTTTTCGATGCTTATTTGGATTTTATGATCGTTTTTGTTATTCAAAACTTTGACCATTTGTGGATACCAGAAAAAAGTGATCCGATCTCTACCATCTTTATAAAAAATCTTGTGTTAATGTAAATATTGGGATGTGCCTAGTCTGAATGAAATCGGATGTTAATTTCTTTGAGGTAAACTATTTTCTTTAAAAATGTTGATCCCCTATGGAGTTGCCAGAAGGAGTGAATCCGTGTT